AGGCTATTTGTTCTATTATCCACCCAGCTGCCTCATGCGGGGTACTAAATAAACCTTTTCAAAAACGTGTTTTTATTTTTTCTCTTGTTAACTTCTGCCTTTTCATTTTTATTTCCTCTATCACATAGTAGTCCAATCACATAGTATTTGTGCTTATAATTCTTAAGTATTTGCCTAAGACCAGTTGCTACTTAATAATATTTTTTCAATATAAAAATATAACACCTATCACACAAGAGCAAAACATATGCTTCCACAGTGAATATAAGACTACCTAGATGTATATCATCTCCAAAACCAAATTTTAATTTTTCTGTCACAGCCATTAATGAATTAGGAAATGTCTATACTGCCATGAACTAGGGCACAGCAACAGTGAGCTGTCCTAGCACAGATTTAACATATCATCTTCGTTTATACCCTGCTGATAACAGCCACTATCCTAGAAGTTGAAACCTGGTGTTTTGATTGCTCAAGTTTGTGAATTTTCTGAAGTGACATTTTCTATCCAATAAGTAAATGGTTTATTCTTTTGAACTTGTTATTACTCTTTTTATTCTTCTTGTGTTTTTTATCTCATATGAGTCATCTGCATAATCAGCACATTTTTTTAAGGAAAATACATATTTTAATTGCAAATTGTGTTAGGGAATTTTTTTTTTTCTCCCAGCCTTGAGGGTTTCTTTGTGGGGACTTTTTTGTTGGCAGCTATAATCATCAGTGGCTGTGTCCCTTGCAGATTCCATTTGTGTCTTAGCACAAAGGAGAGGCCTTTGTTGGCAGTGTGACTGGCTTCAATCTTCTCAAATAGTGAGTAGGAAGGAAATAAAATCCTAACGAAGTACTTTACTAAGAAACAATTCTTTCTTGGGAAATTCTGAATATTTTGACCCCTTTGAGCCTCTGCCTGAATTTCTTTTTTTCTCATTCTCATCTATTTATTTATTTATTTATTTATTTATTTATTTATTTATTTCATATCATGTATCCTGTACAAATAATAGACTTTATTGTTTAAATATGTAAGTTGTTCAGACTTAGTATGTCAGAAATTTGAATTTGAAAAGGCCTTTTACATAGGCATGTCCAAGCCCTCCACTGTCATGTTGTAGTTTTCACATTTGGATTGTTGAGACCTCTTCCAACCAAACTCTTTAAGAACTGTCAGAGTTTAGTTACGTTGGTGTTGATACCAAACTGATTATTAATTTATGAGAACTTATTTCATACTGTGAAGAAACTTGACACTAACAAGTGTTGTTTTTATCTAGGAAGCACTAGCAAGGAGCAGGAGAACTGGCCTATTCCCAGCTGTCCCAGCAGAGTCAGGCAATGACTAACTGTAGTATCAGTGAAACTGTTGTGCCAGGCCTTTTTACCCTAGAGCATTATCTTTTCCAAGGAAAGCCTATGTAGCATCAACTCAAAGGAGATTGTAGCATGTCCTCCTTTCCTGTCTTTTTCACTCTTCATTTTTGTTCATGACCTCTTACAAGTCAAGTAACTATAAATGTTCTTTCTAAGGCTGTATCTAAGCAAGATGAAATCTGAACCACTTACCAGCCGCTCTTTTCCATTTCTTTGACTATGAATTAGAGATAATAAGCTTTGTTATATCTCCAGCTTATACAAATGAGATGGGATAATTGTTAATGGAAAGTCTTTGATGTCCTTCCAAAGAACTACAGAAAAAACAGTGTCCTTCTCTTAACATTATGTTTTATTTTAGCAGTGAATTCTGAAGAAAACTCAATGTATAAAATTTTATTAAGCATTTCTATCTTGTACATTGAATTAGTCACTTTTGTTCAAAAGAATTGTATGATGTAGTGTTGTTTGTTTGGTGATGATGTAATTGAGAAGACCAGCACATGTGAGACCAAAAGAAAAAACAAACAAAAAAACCATTCCCAGCACTTATATGGCAGCTCATTGTCCTGTAACTCCAGCTCCAAATAAGTATGTTTTTTTTTAAAGAAAAACTTTAAAAGATAGTTTATAGATTTTTCATTTAATGCACATATTCTAATACTTTTGAACCAAAATTACCTTTATTTTCTTCCACCCCAGTACAGTAGCTATTTTTGGATTCCTCCATATTATTTTCTACTCATGATTTTCTAAAGGATATGTCATAAACAGAAAGAATAGAGTTGACCTCAACCGTCTTGTCAGTTTTACTTATCTTAATGTTTTGATGATTTACACAGAGTAATATTCAACCAATAAAATAGGAAGAGAATTGAGATGTCCACTTCCCATTTCACAGTCTCTCACAGTTCACCAGTTATTGTATTAGTCCTCCTAAAAAATACAGTATCTACCACCATCGTCAGTGGTGTGAAGCAACCCTTGCTGTAAAACCTCACATAATATTTCAAGCCTAGATCACCTACATTATTTTTGCTGTCTTCTTTTTAATATGCTTTTCAAGCTGAGATCATTTTCCTTTGTATGCTTTTAGGTACACTATTAGTTTAGAACTAAGGAGATTTATAATTAATAAGTTACCCATAACAAAAGACGAGGAAAGAAGGCTAGTTCAAGTAATACCTTATTAACCATTGAAAGTAGGAAGCTATTGATAGCTGCCTTAATTAATAAGTTCTTAATAGTACGGTTATTAGTAGCTTATAAAGTAGCTACTTTTATCTCAAATTGCTGTTAAATAGAAATCTTAGTCCAGCAGCTTCTATCTATCCTAACTGTGCTAAAGTAATTTGATTATAAAACTAAAAGGCCATTTATCTTCTTTAAATACTGATATCTATGAGTTAAAGATTCATTGCTACCTTTTAGTTTTATATCAGAAAATTAAACCCAATGTTTTTGTTTTTCTTAATCAGTATAGAAACAGTTCATTGCACTCTGCTTTTCACATCCTGTATGCGGAGAACTATACATGTATTTTCGTATAAAGACTTGTAATTTACAAAATGTTTTCACTGTCTTGTTTTTCTTGTAAGTTTTGGATTTGGGGGGGGTTGTTTGTTTGTTTTTTTAATTTTGAGACAGGATCTCTCTATATAGTCTTAGCTTTCCTGGAATTCACACTATAGACCACGAAGACCTCAAACACACAGAGATGCTTGCCTCTACCTCCCTAGTGCGGGACTAGAGGCATGTGCCACCATGCTCAGATCTCATAACTTTTGATAAGAAAAGTTCTTTCCTTTTGTAGATAACACAGTATCCTACAGGCCAGAGTTCCCAAAGTATTATGTTCAAAATTATTTCAGTGTATATAGCTATTTACTTAGCTATATAAATGATACGTTTGAAAAATATAATCATTATTATCGGAATAATAAGTGCATACTTATATAGAATCAAACTCATGGCTCTACTGATTATGCTTAGTGTAAGGGCTTATGTAACAATAAAAGGTTATTTTTAAAAGAGATAAGAGATAAACAAATGTTAGCAATAAGGTAGATATAGCAAAAAGTAACCCACAAATAAGTGAGGCATAATAAACATTTCTGTAAGTGTAGTAGAAGTGGAAATAGAATTCTAAGTACAAAGAGTACTGAAATTTAAGATTAAAACATGTACAAATATAAAATCATGACTTTAGAGAGGGAATTTCTCACATTCATTCACTATTTGTGTAGTGTGTAGTGTGTGTGTGTGTGTGTGTGTGTGTGTGTGTGTGTGTGTGTGTGTCTGCTTATATAAGCTAAGCTTCATCCTTCCTCAAGCATAAAGCCATTCTACCTGAACAGAGTTCTCCTTCAAACCTTTAAGACAGCCTATATTAGTCCTGAGTGTATTTATAAAGTCTCTGAAGACATCTTACCTCCTAGCCTTCACAGTCATCAAAATCTGCTTTTATTTAGAGTTTAACTAAGTTCTAGTCTAGAATGTTACAAAGTTTCTTAAAGTATAGCTTGGAATGGAAGAGGAAATTCTCTTCAGTTATGAAATTTAGAGTTTTCCCCAAAATATAAATCCATTTTCATTATAAAAAGCTAACATAAACACACAGATTTTTTTTTTTTACTATTGCATACTCTCACTGCCCCCTCCTCTCCATCTTTCCTAACCCTCATATGCACACACATGTAACATGTATACATTTTCTTCCTGTCTCTGGCAGCCTAGAAACTAACACTTTTAAGTTACCAAAGAACTTTCACATACAATCTTCAGAATTCCCTGTGAGATGATCAGGTAGGTAATGGGAATCGTGACAGTGGTGGCATCTTCATTCAATAGATGAGGAAAATAGAATTTAAGAGATTGCTTTTAACTACAAAGTGGCAGAGTGGTTTCTCAAGAGTAGAATTTTTAACATTCTGTATATCTTGAGAAAGATAAGGAAGATAATTTGTCTTGCTATCTTAACTAGATAGAAACATCTGGAATTCATAGTTTGATCTTAGGTTCTTAAAAAAACCTTGTAATACTAAAGCCATAGTTTAGGAGTAGAGCACTTGCCTAGAGCACATACAAAACCTTGGGTTCCATAGCTGATAAGAAAACAGACAAGACAAAAGGCCAAGAAAGTTTCTTACCTTAAACACAGATTCTTGAATAGTCCTAACACACCAGGAAGTCAGTTTCTAGAAAAGTAATAAATATCACCACTTCTCTTTCTCTGAATGGTTAATATAAAAGCTCAGTATTGGCATTCTGATATGTATATCTGTGAGCCTGCTTAACATCAGCCATTCTTTAGTCCGTGGTTGTCCCTGCTTCAACAGACATCCCATCATCTAAACACTCAGCTTGTTTTTTCTTTTGTTCTGTCATCTTAGCTTCAGTGGGATAACTTAACAGCTGACAGCATTTATTTTGTTGAGCAAATTAGCAATGTTAAGACTTCCTTTATCAGGAAAAAAGAATGCTTCTTGGAAGTTACATATATGAGTTCAGATTGGTTTGTCCTTACACAGATGCATGTTCTCTTCCCCTAACTGAAAGCACTTATTAAGAGTGACCACAGTTATGTAATGGTCTTTCTGAAACATAACTGGTAATAAAAATCTCTGGTGTAGGTTCAGTCTCCTGTGGATTCTGCCACCATGTCTCCAGTAGAAAGGACAGCAGCCTGGGTTCTGAACAATGGACAGTATGAAGAAGATGTGGAAGAATCTGAACAAAATCAAGATGAAGCCAAGCACGCTGAGAAGGTAGACTTAATTTGTCTTTGTTGACTTAATGAGCCCACAACTAATAGGTGATTTAAAACAAAAATGGAAAAACAAAACTTGGTCTGGGAGTCACTGCTTATTAACCATCACATCTGTGCATTATTGGTCAGTAGTGGCTCTGTGAGTATATGGATAGTGTCCATAACGCTAAGGAGGAAAGGAATGACATAATTTTTAATGTAGGTTGCTTTACTTTGGAAAACATTCTGACACTGTTTCTAACCATTTTGGTTGAACATTTATTATTTTTATAAATTCTGGTCTTCAAATTCACAACTAACATTAGGACAATCTAAATCAGTGGAAGTGGTCAATTTATATTTTAGTTCTGTTGGGTTTTTTCTTTTGAGAATAAAGGCTGCTATACAAATAATTATTTAAAAGATATCTGCTGTTTGAGGGTTTCATATAGTATTTTGGGGGGTATATGGATTTGTTTGTTTTCTGAGACAGGATCTCATACATACCCCCATACTGGCTTCAAATTCACTCTTCTGTCTTCCACCTCTGGAGTTAAGGGTAGCTATCTGTCTGTCTGTCTATCTATTTGCTTAGTTATTCGTTCATTTATTTATTTATTTATTTACTTATTTTAAAGAAAAACAGACCTGGAAAAATCAAACAATAACCTTAATATCACATTTAATTGACCACCAGACAATTAATCTCTTTTTGGTTAGAAAATCATAAACGATGCCTAATGTTGCATCCTGACCTTTCAGAACTATCTGAGGGCTCTCTGCTTCTTCTTTCTAGAGTAACCAGAGTGATTTAGAGCAGTGAAGTGGGTAAGGAGCAGCTAGTTGACTTTTCGCTGGTTAAATGAGATGTTACTACATACATTGTATTTTACCAATATTTATCATTGGTTTACTAATGACTATTATATTATCCCACCCATAAGGAAGCTCATGTTTCTCGCCTTGCCTGGACAGTTTCACTTTCTATTGCACTAACAAACCCCATCCACAGGAACTTTAGTACCTGAAAGGGCCAAGTAACCAGCTGAATTATAGAATTTATAGAAGGCTAGTGAGAACACAGATAAATTCCAGCAGGTGGTACCACACCAGACAGATGAAGTCACATCATGAAAATAGGGGAGGAGGCAGTCCTTGAAAAGATGTAGGCCCTTATCATCGCTTATGACCTGAATACTTGACACTTTCATAATTACGGGAAAAGCAGTAATTACCTGTTCTATCATGAAATTGTATTAACTGAATTTAGTTGCTTAACATAAATGTTACTTGTTGTCTGAATTGTCTAAAGGGTATGTCCTAGTGGAGTAAAGATAGTCTAATGAGCACCAGTGGCAGGGACCCTGCAGTGCAGGTGATAACATGTAAGTCTCTCTGTTGTAGACAACTTTTGGCTTGAGTCATTTGTCAGTCTTCTAACTACTTGATTTTATTTTTCTTTCTCCCTTCTATTTGATATGCTTACAGATTGGATGTGGCTTGCCACAACTGGTAGTTAAATGGGAAAAAAAAAGTGCATAAAACTATAGAATTCATAATGCTGAGTTAAGATTCATAATGTAATTTTAGACACACAACAGTGCTTCTTTAACATTTATGTCAGCCAATGCTTTTAAATAACCTAGGCAGCAGCAAGGACATGGCAGATGAGACAGCATCTACCACATCACCTTGGGTTCTCTGGCTAGAAAAGTGTATCAGTGCCTTCAAGGCCAGTATAATTCCTGTAATCCGTGCCTCTTCCCCTTTGCCAGTATGAACAAGAAATTAGCAAATTGAAAGAGCGCCTACGAGTGTCCAGCCGGCGGCTAGAGGAGTATGAGCGCCGGCTACTGGTACAGGAGCAGCAGATGCAGAAGCTGCTACTGGAGTACAAGGCCCGGCTGGAGGACAGTGAGGAACGGCTGCGCAGACAGCAGGAGGAAAAGGACAGCCAGATGAAAAGCATCATCAGCAGGTTAGAAAACCACCTGCTAGCTGGTTGGCTCTAGTTCAGTACAAAGATGTAGGGGGATGATCGGAGTGCTTTCAAAGAATAGCCCTACCCCCAAAAAAGCCATTTCACCCATGGTACTTGATATAAATGTAATGACTATGACTCTCAGGTATTAAACCAATTGAGATCTGGTGTACTTACCATGAAGATAAGGTAGGCTTTTTCTTTAACCATAGAAATATTAGCGGGGGAAGGTGAGGAGGGAATTTATTTTGAAGTTTTAGATGAAAATTGGGTTTTTTAAATCTATATCTAAGATTTAACTCAATTTTCCCAGACAGGTTCAAAAACAAAGTCTCACTGAATGTCTTTAGGGCCAGAGGACCCAAAAAGTGCCAACAAAGGAGAGCAAGAAGAGACCCATTTGACTGTATTGTTTTATTTCCATCTTGGTCTGAAACAGATGTTATTATCACTTATTTACAGATAGAAAATTGGCAGCAGTTGCTTGCCCAAAGCAATGTAGTGGAGACCTAGGGTTTGAACCAGGTATCAGACTCCAGACTCATAACCACTAGCTTCAGTATTGCCAGATGCTATGGGCAAAGTACAAAGTAAGAGAAGAACAGAAAAGGGGTTGCTATTTTAGTAGCCTGGCAATAACTGACCTAATACTGAGAGCCATAGGAGTAGAACTGGGGAGATATGCATAAGTGGGTTGAGATGTGAGGAGTAAATGAGAAACAAGATCGACTAGAATATACTGTAGGAAACATAGCTATGCAAGGGAAGAGGGGAAGAGGGTAGGATGGTAGACAGTGTAACTTGAGAGTAAGAGAAGATGCAGCCAAGCATGGTGGTACTTGCCCATAATAATCCCAACATTCAGTAGGTAAAAGTAGGAGTACCAGGAATTCAGGGCCAGCATCAGCTACATAGCAAGTTTAAGGCTAGCTTGAGCTATGGAGATACCTTCTCAAAAATAATTTAAAAAGTCGATAACCTTTTTGTTTTGTTGTTGTTATTAAGATGTTTGTTTGCTAAGGGCTGATCTAATAGGAAGATGATGATTATGAGAATATTATTCTCAAGAAATTGTAATGTTATGGAGCCTATCCATAGGTAAAACACTCAACTTAGGATGTCTTCTTTCAGGGAAAGATGGGAGAGGAGGAAGAGAAAGAAGAGGTTATTATAATAAAATGGGTCTTCTGTTGGGAACCACCAGTTTTAGGTTTCTCAATCTCTGCATTACCTAGCCCTGTCTTTGAAAATATTGATACCTCCTCCTTACCACATTCTAGGCTAATGGCTGTCGAAGAGGAACTAAAGAAGGATCATGCTGAGATGCAAGCAGTTATTGATGCAAAGCAGAAAATAATTGATGCACAGGTAAGCAGGCCCTGTGCTTAGAAGAAAGCACTTCTTTTTAATACCTGTTATTTTCTGACTTCCCACCCTTGCAAATGACAAAGCAGTAGAAATTGAGACACAGAAAGTTTCTTGGCATTATCCTTTGAATATTAAATGAGTTTCCATATGACCTCATTGATTTTTCTGTGATGACATAGCATGCAAATTATTATGTATTTAGTGTAGTTGTTTGACAAGTCTTAGCTTAATACATGATGAAGTTGGCTTCCTTCCTTATGGAAAGGAGGACATTCTCTAAGAGGGTAACTGTAAAAAGTGCACTGCATGTATCTGGCTTGTGACCTCCACTGACCATTGCTTGGATGTGTTCTTCACAGTCTTGTCAGTCACATCCACTGTCATCAACACCTAGTCCTAGTAAAGAAATCATAGAGGAAAGATAAGGTTGTAGAAGACAGCTTTCTTTGTTATTCTTTTGGTTCAAAGTTTGGCATTGCTGCTTGGAATGTGCTTGGCTGCTCTTTGTTAATGCTATGCTTAGAGAACCTCTTTGGATATTTAAAAAAAGGTTGATAAAATTGTAACCTATGACAGCTTACACTTAGTGGGATGATAGCCTCCAAAAGCCCTTCACAAGGACACCAGTGATCAGAGCAAAATCCAGGATGCAGGAAATGTTTTCAACTCCTTATTGCTCTATCACTATAGAGTATGACTTATTTCCTAAAGGGAAATAAATTTCAAAGGGCAATTATAGTTTTGATAGTGGTTCATCTGACTACATTTCTCTAGGAACAACTAGCCAAGTTTGCATTTCTCATTTTTAAGCTATAAAATAAAAATGAGAGCATTCTACTTCATTATCTATGTATCAAATACTAGTCAGTATATACTAGAGCCCCCAATATTCTTAAACATGCACGTCAACATTTGAATTTCCTTATGAGATCAATGTAAGATAAGATTTATTTTTCAGACTGTGAGCATAGCCATAGGAAGAATCCTTCACAAGCTTCATCCATCTTAGAGCTCACTAGACTTAGAAGCTAGTTATGAGTTGTGATGCTTTCTCATATACATAACTGCCAAAATGTTTTTTAGACTCAAATTCTAGGGTGTTTTTTTTTTTTGTTTTTGTTTTGTTTTGTTTTTTTTTTTTGTTTTTTGTTTTTTGTTTTTTGTTTTTTTTTTTTTTAACTCTTTTTAGGTATCCCTAAGGTAAGTGAAGGAAGACCAGTAGAAATAAGGTCATCTTGCTATATCCTATTTAAAAAAAAAAATCACTCCATGAACTTAAGAGAAATAGTGTAAATAAAGAAGGCAATTTCATCATGAAAACTAAGGCTGAAAAGTTCCCCGTTGGATTGTCAATATCAGTATAAAGCAGGGTGAGCCTTATTAGTAATCACACAGAGAAATTTTAGTGCTGAGATAGAATAGATTTCAGCCAATGTAATGCAGTCAATCTTAAGCAGAGGAAACTTACCAGTTTTGATCTGAGTATAGAGCAAAAGTTGTGGTTACTAAAGGTGAAGTCTAGGAAGGGAATTTGATTGACCAAGGGTCAAAAACTCCGTTAAGCCATCAGATAGTGGCACTGTGCAGAAAAGGAAGAAATGGTACCTTGGAACTCCGTCAGTCAGATTTACAGTCTGGCCAATGGCAGTTTGGTTTTCAAAACGCTTGGTTCTCTGGACTGTTTCAATGGAACCAAGGCGCCCTCCATAAACCAGTGCTCCCCCTGACCACTCAACCATGAAGACCACTCTGAGCTATTGGGTCAGAACATACTGGGGTTCATTAAATGTATGTCACTAAAGCATAGGCTTTATTATATCATAAATTCCTCTACAAAAGCAGATATAGATCCCTAAAGAATACTCAGACAATCCACTGGATCACATTTGAAAAACCACTGTTACTAAGCACAGCACAAATCATAAATACCAAGAGCAGTGAAAAATACAACAGTGTCTTAAAAGGGGACATTCTCAGTCCAAGCTACTGGCTTACTGGGCTTACTTGGCATACTGGTACATAGAATCATAAAAGAGCAAAAGACTATACATACTTAGATAGTCTTCATAACGAATGACTTCATCAGATGCTTTTCTATGAGAACAAATCTTAACTCTTAAATGATTGTTGGAACAGAGTAGCTCTCTTAGCTTCATTTCTTAAATGCAGACATGTTGAAATAATAGTCTCCCTAGGAGGTCACCCATAATTTTATATTCACAGCATAGGCTTCGTGCCAGCAATAGTAAAAAGTATTTCTAAAATGGAAACAGCGATTTTCTTTGTGCACTTGTCAGCACACTAACACTCTAGTACCCCAGGAATGGTTTTCATCTCTCTCAGCAGCCCCCTGTTCCTTGTTGGGGAATTCAGCATCTCCTTCTCCTTGAGTCAGTTCATGCTACAAAGCACAGGTGCACAGGAATCCCTTTCTGCAGAACTGCAAAAGGATGAGTGACAGAATCATCAGTCCTGAACCTTACAGTGTATATACCCATGAAGTGTGGCACCTTCCCACCTTCCAGGCATGAGGGCTTATAACTCCTGGATCTCTCCATGTGACAAGATGGAGAACAGAAAGGGGATTCTTCCTATGAGAAACAAAGCAGCTGCCTAGTTACTGTTGCAAGTGATATCTCCACTGTGTTAAATTACAGGTCATAAATGGAAATGAGATTATTCAAACAGGCAAGTAATCCCTGTGCATTCTCTAGCTGAGCAGTTCCCAGCCCTGGCCAGTGCACTGGCATCCTACACATTCCAGCTCCTGGTACTCCCATGTTGAGTCCTTCCTTTCAGGCATGTTAGAGTGCTTTGTGTTCTAAACCAGGCAGAATCAAATGTTATAGCAACTTTTGCCAACTAACCTTTAATTTCAAAAGATCCCATTTCCTATTTGAGGTTTTTTAAATTGGGGGGGGGGTGTTTGTTTGTTTTCCTTTAATTCTGTTTTATTTGAAAGGTTAATAGTGGAGGAACTACAAAGGGAATTTCTCTGCTTAGAAACTTTCAGGTATTTAGGAGAATAGGTTGTTTGATATCAGTTATTATTTGCAGGCAGTGTATAATTATAGACCTTCTTAGGCTCTTTTTTGACCCTTTAAGAGTCCATTTGATTTTTTGAGAGGGTAGAGGATTGTCTTGTTTTGTTTTGGTAAATTGCTTAATTTTTTATGAACCCCAAGAATTCTGTTTTCCTTAGGATTGGGGCCTTATCATTTGTCACAATACTGAAATATCTTTCCTTGTCTATTTTGAGAAATTATCACTTATGGTACAACTTTTCACTTATTATATAATACATAAAAACTTTATCAAAATTAAACATATTTATTAAGAATTTAAATTCCACTTAGGACACATTCCTCACTGAGGCAGCGCATTATATTTGAAATCTACCAATCGCCTTTCTTTAAAAAAAAAAAAAAATCTTATACAGTAAGTGGATAGTTAATAATACTGATTCTGTATGTCTTACCACCTGAGCTTTAGAACAGAAAATAGAATTATTTTAAAGAGTTGTAATAGCCAGAGTTATGTTGTCTTTGTTTTTTCATATGTTTGAAACTTTAGCTACCACCTCTTCTCAGAAAGAGAGAGAGAGAGAGAGAGAGAGAGAGAGAGAACACAAGGCAAGCATTGATTGGTGCTATAGTCAGCTATGGCTTTACCCAGACTTCCCTGGGTGCCATCACTAGGCTTGCCCCTGGCAGTATTTCACAGCAGAGGCAGCAGCAAGCTTCAAGCTTCGGCCTGCTTGCTGCTCTTTATACCCTGCCATGACTAAAACTTGTCTCTCATCTTACTGGGTAAATTCAGAGACTCCCAGAAGAGAGAGCTTCGTTTGGTGTTAGAGTTGATCTTCATGGGCTAGGTAAAGGTTGTCCCTCTCTGTCATTATTTTCTGAAAAAAATAGGTACTTAATGTTTGTTGGGGAGTCCTGGGGTGATTTAAAGATGAAAGTCTCAACTAATTTTGTGAGACTGATGTTTTGTCCCACTGTAACTTTTTGTCCCTCCTTCCCCTCTCTCTGGTGAATATGTGGAGATTCAATAACCTGTAGCTCCAAAATGATGTCTCTAAAGCATTGGGAGTTTTTTGTTTGTTTGTTTTAAAACTTGAGAGAAAATGAAAGCGTTCCCTTTACTGGGCAGCTTTCCCGGAGTATCTGAGCTGGAATGGGTCTAGGAGCCTGTGTTCTCTGTCTGTTCTCATGTGTTATGTTTATAGCATCCCTTTCAGCCACATCTCCCTCCCCATAGTCAAACAACTCCTTGGTCTGAGCTTCTGGCTGCTCTTATCTCCTCTTGCTCTTGCATCCTCACCTTGTTGGAGACTCTGAACTGCCACCACGTATTGCTTTAATTTGAGCAATGTGACTTCTTCCCAGATGGGACTGTTATGCCTTCCTTGGGAGGTGAACCCATGGATCACATGCACTTCTCTTCTGTGAAATGAAACCTCTGGTGCTTCTTTCGTTGCCACCTAATTTCCATGTTTCAGTTTTGACAAAAGCACTTACTACATAAAGGCAGCTTGACCCATGGTGCCATTTTCATAAGACAGCCTAGCAATACCTCAGTATATCATTGGTAATAAGTCCTGTTGTGCAGAAATGAAAAAAGAGATTAAGGGGAGGGGGAGCTGAACCTAACTAATGTGCAGAAAGAGGCAGAGACGTTCCATTTGTTTGGGGAGCACCATGTGTACTGTACTGTGAGAGAAAGTATTGAACTAATCATTTAATAAAGATAGTGGCATCTTCCGTGCAGCCTGAATAAAGCCATGATTAATATGTTACAGGAAAAGCGGATCGTGTCCCTGGATTCAGCCAACACAAGACTGATGAGTGCGCTGACTCAAGTGAAGGAGCGGTACAGCATGCAGGTCCGCAATGGCATCTCTCCCACCAACCCCACCAAGCTTTCCATCACGGAGAATGGTGAATTCAAAAACAGCAGCTGCTGATGGCCTTTGTGAATACAGACTGTGGGAGGAGAAAGAAGGAAGTTGCCCACCTCTCCTATTCCCAGCCTTTTAACCCTCCAGGTTTACAGAATGTTGCTTCAAATAGCAGTATGGTGAGAAACTCGTAAATGAAGAAAGGAACCTTGTCTTTCAGGGCATAAAGCAAAGACCCCCCCAGTGTCGATGCTTTCCCCAGTGTCTCTATGTATATAGGGAACTTAGTTCTGGGCCATGTACAGAAATACCACTGTAATATACCAAAAGGAAGTTAATAATGTAGATTACCTTTTTAATTATTACTATTTTATTATTGTTTTTTCTCTTGTTGAAAGCACTGCAGTTTTTAGTGGAGGAAAAAATAGAAGCCAAGTGTGAGTGAGAAATGAGCCTATCTGTTCAGTAGGTAGAGAGTCTGTATTGTGTAGGAGCACATGGAGTGCAATAGGACCTTGTCAGAATGAGTTTTTTTCAGGGATTCATCTGCTGGTTTAAAAGCCCCACCCTAGTCTCTTACCATTAGGAAAACATGCAAATACCAAGATCCATACAAAACAGTACTTTATGCTACTGATCAACCAAGATAGTTCTGATTAGACAGTAATCTGATTTGGAGAGTCACTGTTTCAGAGGACATGGATAGGAGTGGTTGATTGTACCAAAACTGAACTAGAAATGATTTCTTTTGAACTGTCAATATGTTTGTTTCCTCCATCTACAGCAGATGGGAGCTTTGTTTTAGATATGAGACTTTGTGATTTTTACTCCTACTTTTTTTTTTAACTACTCTTTAGAGTTGACAGAACTATAAATTTTGTGTCTCTGTCTACCATTTTCATTGTCATATGTGCACTGTCCTTGCCTCCCCATGCTGGGAGCTGTCAGCACCAACAGGGTTTACTCTCCACTGGAGAGGTTATTCAAGTATGCTATTCATAAGCCATCTGAATAAATACCCTTTCTTCCATTCAGAAAAGGGCTAATTACAACAGAGCAGGAATCTCTGAATATTTCCCACTAAAATTTTTCTATTTGTCAGTTGTATCTTTGCTTAGGATAAAGATTGCATCCGCCATACTAATAAACCTGTGGGCAGGGTTATTTCATCACCACTTTTAACCTTTAAATTGCTTCTTCTTTTTATGTGTCTCTTCCATTTGGCAAGGAAGTTTAAAACTGAAGCATCTCATTCTTTTAAAAATGATGATTAATCTTGCTACAGAGAACCAGAATGTGAGGATGGCACATTCCAGGTGTTATTCCACACTTTTGGTCGACTCAGCAAAAATGATCCAGCTTATCATTAATGGCTTTAATTCAGGACAGAAATCCATGTTTTTCTCCAGAGTGTGACATGTCATCTCGAAGGCAGGCTTAATTACCAGGGGTAGAGAAAGTTAGCTGCAGGTTAAACAAATATTATATATATATATATATAAATATATACATATATTCACACATATGTACATATAATGTGCACATCAAAAAATGTTCATACCTTCTATGTTGTTGGATATATAGAGATAATGTTTAAAAAGGGTCTTGAATCTCTTTAAGCAAAATATACATCCTTTTATGTTGAAAAATAGCATTTCTCAAGTAAGTTAATGTTTTGTTTTTTAAGTTATAAACTTTAAGAATGTTTTAAGTAAAGGATGTGGAGTGAGACATAACAGAGCCATATGCATGGCGTATGTGTTTCTACATAGTAGGATAAATATAAGAAAACAAGAGAACATGTGTAGGGCCCTCTTTGTTTGATGTCCAGGCATAAATACCAAGCCCTCCTTTCCACCAAGTCCCAGGCATGCATTCCCAGTGTCACTTGCCCCTTAGTTTGACCTTAATGTCTGACCTTGAATTCCAACAATCTCATCACAGCCTCAACCAACAACCTTTGAAAAGGGTTTTTTTCATAATAACCTGTTTGTGTCAGACAAATGTCCAAAGCAGGAGCATCTCACTGTGCATGGAGCTGTAGACCCACACACTCACTTGAGTGTCTCCTTGACCCTTAACAGCTGTCTCACCAGGGTTTGTCTCCTCTCCAGGGTTTTGACTCTGCATTAGTGGCCTGTATTAAGTGAAGTGGAATGTAATTGCAGATCTTTTCTCTTTTGTAGCTTAGCAATGTTCTTTCTTCATTCTTCCAAATCCTTCAGTAGTACCACAGAAAATCTAGCTCAATTATTAGTTATAGTGGCCTGAAGTATATAATGTGGTAACATCTTGCTTTGAGGTTGAGAAGGTCTTGAGGTGCTGGTTATAGATTACAGAGAGCTGGTCAAATAAGTGTAGTGATGAATGCAGTGTAACTTAACACTGCGGGGTCTTTGAGAGCCTGTCTGCATTGCAAGATTGAATTTCAAAACATTTGGACATATGATGAGGCTCTCTAGCCATCATGTTATCATAAATGAAGAGAAAAAAAAGTAAAATAACAATAGTAAGAGGATTAGAAGTCAAAAGTTTAGCATTGTTGCCAGATATTAAATCTCAGATTATCCTTTGAGCTTATTCATCTTTTTAGCCTATCAGAAATATTATTCTGGGCTGAGGTATAGCTCAGTTGGAAGAGTTCCAGCCTAGCATGCTGAAGGCCCTTGGTTTTGTTTGTTTGTTTTTTGTTTGGTTGGTTTTGGGTTTTTTTTTTTTTTTTCAAGACAGGGTTCTCTGTGTAGCTTTAGAGCCTGTCCTGACACTTGCTCTGTAGACCAGGTTGGCCTTGAACTCACAGAGTTCTGCCTGCCTCTGCCTCCCAAATGCTGGAATTAAAGGCGTGTTTAAACCCCAGCACCACATAAACTGGGATAGTGTCACACAGGCCTGCAATTCCAGCACTCCAGGGATGGGAACAGGAGGGGCAGGAGCTCAAGGTAATACTCTGCTGCATAAGTTTCCTGGCCAACCTGAGCTAATTAAGACCCTGTCTCAAAATGCTAAAAGAATATTTTTTTGAATATTTCTTTAGAGAATGTTGCAATCTTACAAATTTTATTTTGAATTTTTTTCATATAGCAGAGGACAACAGCAGGTGCTAATAAGCTACATGGTGTTTCTTTAACTCAAATAGGTGCATGTTTCTGCTTTACTGGGAGGAAATGTATGATTTCTTTTTAAAACACTGATAGGTTAAATAGCTGCACCTTGCGAACCCTGTTTCTGCCAACATGTCAGCACATTACAGGATGAGAATAGACCAGGGCTGGGTGGGGTTTGTACTCGGGTTAAGTGCTTGTGAAGCCCTTATCTAGAGGAGGGCCAGACTTGAGCATTAACAAGGACAGCCTTACTAGGACCAGGAAAGGGGCTTCTTGTTTCCATCCTAGGTCGCCAGAGCATGACAATTTCCATAAGACTAGCATTACTTCAGTGACTGTCTGTGTGCTGCTTGGGTCTGGAGCAGTCTTTTACTTGGTGTGGAAACTGAGGTGATTATAGTACCATGGCTAATTCTTGCTTTTTCACTCACCATCAGGTTGGTAAGAATTGGTATTCCGACTGGTCTGCTTCTGTCCTCTGTTAAGGGGTTGCACAGGAAAGGAAATGTGAGGGTTTCTAAGACTGCTGTAAACATGGAGTGTGCACACTGGGCTGGGCCTGATTCAGAAGTAGTGATAGCCGTGGCTTTTATGTGGAATGGCAGCTCTCCAGAACCCTGGACCCCACTGTGTCCTCGGGTACAGCAGTTTAGGAGCAGGGTTTTTGTTTGAAGTTCCAGAGGACACTTGCCATCAAGTGGGTTTGCATTCGTGTTTGTTTTGCTTCCATCCAGATTTAGCTCTGGTTCCTCCCAGAAGGCCTGTTAAGGGGCTGAGCTACAAGAAGCAGACTTCTTCAGTCAACAGACTGACTGAGCCCCAGGCTGATCCATAGACTAGCCACATCACTGACACAGCAGCTCCAGAGCCCATCCCACAGTTTTCCTTCATTTTCAGCCACTTGTGAGGAGAGGGTCACCTTCTGCTACAGATTAAACAAGTTCAGGGGACATTCTACGTTTACCCCCTTGGCTTATTCAAATCAGTAATGAACTCTCCTGCTTGCCTCAGCAGTAAAAAGTCACCTTCCCAGCCCATCCCTGGGATACCTTTTGAAATTATTATTAATTTAAATGACTTATACTTGTTTCTTAAAAGCAAGTAATGTTGAAGTTTCAAATTTTCAAGTACAAGCTTTTTTATGTTTGAATAATAGTTATCAGTTCTTATAGAGCACCTCTTGTCACTGACCCGTCTAGGATCTTGAACTTTGAAAGGACAGGGTGATGAAATTTGCATGAGCAAGAGCAAATTTCTTTCAAAATGATCCTGAGGGCAACACATAATCCAATGGACTTGGTTCCTCAGAAGTTCAAAGAAACAATGGAGTTGCATCACCTGGCTCCTCCTCAGATGTATATGTAGAAAGGCAGGTCCTGAGACAACGTGTGCATGCCTATAGAAATACACACCTCTTAGGGCATCCCTTTAAAAAAACAAAACAATGTTAATTCACTGTATGAGCTAGTAATTCCCAAACTTTCTTGAGGTTTTGTTTTTGTTTTGTTGTTTTTTAGATCTTACAAAATCCTATCCTCTTTAAAATGTACTATATGTGTTATATGTATATATAAGTTAAAGTGACTTGAGCTAGGTGTCATTATCGATAGCATGGAGATACGGAGCAGCAGATGACTGTCACCATCCCAGAGCAGAATACAGAGAGTAGTTCTGGTTCCTCATCAGTCAATACTCAGGTGTTTTAGCAACAGCCCAGCTATCCTTGGTAAATGCAGCAAGATACCCAAGGAGAGGTCAGAAGTACTTTGACCCCATGTTTCAGCACACATTTTTATTTTCTACTCCGTTGTTTTTTTGTCAAATGTCCTCATTGTTCCCTAGGAAGTCTTAGACTGAAAATCAGCTGAACTGTTGGTGCAGTAACATTTTCACAGCTGTGTTTTAGGGGTTCCCATCCTCTGTGTGTGGTCAAGCTTTTGAATATAAATAGCATGGATATGTCATTTCCAAGCCCTCAAGGAAATTATCAATTTCTAGTTCACTAAAAGGTTAAATGCTAATTATCTCAATGACTGCCATCTGTCAGAAGAGCTAAAATAAGTAGTAAAGGTTGAATTTTGACTGGTGCTTAGATATTTCTAGCTATATTAGGATCAACTCAAGCAAACAGCAGTGTATTTACCTGGGTCACACCTGTGAGGAATTTATTTTCCAAATTTGATTTTGTTTTTCATCTCCAGGGCCTTAATAAGAGTGTGTTAATACACGACTATTTTACAAAGATAGTTCAAAATAATTTATTTTTTATTTCAAGAAAGAGAAATCCACCTTAGAAATACAAAACCCAAGATTTTATTTTATTTTTAAAGCCATATTTTTGTGCTTTGTAGCACTTAGATTGTTCCATATGTGATCCATATCTGCATTTCATTACCTGGGTTCTAAAAAAGATTTATTTTTGTTCTGTGAATAATTTTTGACGGTTCTTGTACATGTACAGATATAGATACGTTTGAGGTCTTTTATTGATATTCCTACAAAAATACAAATAAACTTTAACTTTAAACATTTCAGACTAAAGTTGTTACTCTATTTGCAGTACGTCTTCTATCATACATACATGTATGCCGTGTGCTGTGTTCTAATGTATCTTCTGGGTACATAGACTTGGTACACTGGGATATTATTCTCAAGGTACATTTTAGCATTAGGAATATCATGCCTTAAAATTATACAATGGTAAAGCACTTAGGTGTAGGACAAATAATTGACACTGTTATCAGTTGTGTTATGCTGACACCCTTAGAAAGCAAGCTTCCTCCAGCTGTCCAAAGACACTGTGGTCCTCTCATATTCCCCACACAGTTTGTTCTTAGGGTTTTTCTTTTTGGGTCAGGGAGTTGTCTTTGGTTATCCTTCTCAATGTGTCCCATCTTCAGCTTATCTATCTCATTCTGTAAAAGCCAAGAATGCAGTTTTCACATGTCATTTTCTTTTGTGCTACATATAGGTCTATGTGTCCTGGAATACGTCAGGTTATTTCTGATCTTGTGCTTCTAGGAATTTAAAAAAAAAAAAAAAAAAGAAAGAAAAGAAAAGAAAGAAACTAAAACTAAAGACAACTTGAAAGACTACTTAAAAAGGCAAGTGAAAATTAGCAGATATTTGCTACTTTTTGTTCACTTCGAAGCCAATCCATTTCAATGTGAATTCCTCATGACCTAGTGCAAACTTTAAGACTTCTTGGATCTGAAATATTAAAAAGAGAGAAGTAGGGCTAAGGATAAGTTCAGTGGAATCAGTTCCTAATCTAGCACCACAAAAAGAAAAAAGACTGATGCTACTCTATGGCCCTATGGCTCACTTAGCTCTAAATAACTATGTACATCCATCCCTTCTTTCTCAGCCTTCCTTCACCTGAATGCATCTTGTCAACTGCACAAGATTACTTAGTGGTTCTCAATCTTTATTGAGCATTAGACTTTTGGGCAAATTTAAACACATATACGTGCATATGTATGTATACACATGTACATATATACACCCATGCACAGAGGGAGGGATAGGAAGAGAGAGAGATGAGTGACTGCCTCCAGAGATCCATTACTCCATATTGCCCTCTGAACAGTATGTGGGGTGTCTATAGTAGTGTCTTTTGTAGCACTGTTTTGAGGCTTGGATGAATTAGCTGCAGGTCTTTCTTCACTTTATACTTGTAATTTTAAATGCTGTTAAATCCCCATGCATACCTTGTTCTTATCAACTTCATTCCTTTTATAGATAGGAAGTCTGTGGCATGTTCATCCCATGAAGTTCCTTTACCTTTGTTTTGTTTTGTTTTGGTTTTCTTTTTCATAGCATGAGGGGCCAAACCCAAGGCCTCAGACCATCTGACTTTTGGAACAAATACATTCTGACGAAGCTAAGCAAGAGGTGGGACTTACCAGGATAAATCCAATTTTCTCACTGGCTCTAGTTTGATACATAAGATAGATTCTTCTAGTTAGTATCAAAAGTTTCAATAACTACACCTCCAGAAAGCACATAAAGGCCCAGGCCAAGACCAAAGAAAATACCTCTGACCTTAAGCAATAAACAAAAAGTAGAAAACTCAGAATTGTTTTCTTCCCAAGGCCTTTGTAGCGCTATGGTTTTATTACTTGAAACTTTGCTGAGAATCGCATTGTTTGCACATGTTCTTTCAGTAACAAATGCATCCGTGTCTCCCAGTTCCCCTCCCTACCATTAGCCAGCATGTACGTGAACTTGCAAAGCCACACAATACTAGTGGTCTTTCTAGAAACTTGATTTTGTGAAATTCTAAAATGGTTTACCATTGAGCCTTTGAATAATTAGGAAAGAGCTACTAAATAAATGCCAGTGTGTCTTCTTATTGAGCCTTTGAATAATTAGGAAAGAGCTACTAAATAAATGCCAGTGTGTCTTCTTATCTGTAAAGTTATGATTTATGATAGACAGACAGACAGACAGACAGACAGACAGACAGACAGACAGACAGACAGACAGGAAGGATGGATGGATGATCTAGAGGGGACTTTAGCTCCTGAGAAATGTTTTCTAGGGCTGTGTTCAGTAATCAGTTTAATTATTGTCATGATAATGCTAATAATAGCTAATATTGAGCACCAAATGTGTGCCAGACAGTCTACTAAAGTTTTAGACAGAATGCACAAGCACTTTACCAACCGAGACCTCTCCCTAGTCCCAACCTTCTTAATGCATTGTCTTTGACAGTACTGCTTTGCATTATTGTCACCCGAATGATCAGAATTCAAAAATGTAGGCGTCTCACCTCGCTCAGAAACTGGTCTTTCATCTCTTCTGGATCCTTCAGTGTTGACATGGTAAAATCTGCTTTCAAGACTCCAAAGGAGTGCTCTGGGGGGGGGGGGGTGGAGATAAAAGTTTCCTGCTTTAGAAGAATGTCACCCATTGCCACCTGAACTTTCCAGTTCTCGGGAGTTAGGGGTACCCACTGGATATCATAGGTGCTATGTGGTGACAGAGGATTTCAAAGAGAAAAAGGGGGGAAATGGCTGAGCTACGATTAACAGCACCAAACGGTGCCCCCAGAAGAAACTCCTATTTTAGATCAGTATCAGCTCTCTTCCCACAGCCTGGACACCATCTCTTCCCAAAGAAGTTTTCTGAACCAATAGATAAATTCAGTCTTTGCTACATGTCCACCATAACCTGTGGTGATATTTTGTTTATGATCTAGCAGATAAAACTTGCCTAAAGATCAGAGTGCAAAGCTAGCCAGACTAGTCAGCCATAGAGGCCAGGCAGTGGTGACACACACCTGTAATCCCAGCAACCACAGTGGTTAGCCATAGAAGCTTTAATCCAGCACTGGAGAGGAATGGAAGATGGGAGGAGAGAGGAGTATAGTATTCAGTCTGCAATCATGCTGAGGACAGAATCACCCCTTTTGGTCTGAGCCTTGGTAGAGGTAAGAACTTTACTGGCTGGCTGCTTTGCTACTCTGCTCTTTCAGCTCCCCCCCCCCCAATAATCTGTCTCTGGGTTTTTTCTTGTTCATGCTACAATAATCATCACAAAAACTACAGCCTCATGGTAGGCCATGTATTTGCAGAGCTTTTGACAGCTCCTTTGCCTAAGTACCTTTTTGTACATTCACAGCCACCCTATGAGATAGAGTAGTGTTTACTGAGCCCCTTCTGAAGGTGAGAAAAACTATAGAATTGAGGACCCTTGCTTTCCCTCACCACGCTTGCCACAGTCACACAGCTTAAACTAGAATCCACCTCTTCCTTCCTACCCCAGTTGCCAACACTTCATGTTATCTTTCCTAAGAAGACCCCCAAGTACCCTGGACTAGGCGTGACTGTAGATTTCTTAGGCTCTTAGATGGTAAAGTTGGCAAATAGAAGCAGTTACCTGAATTTGCTGCTGGTTTCTCTTTAGACTCTGGGTACTTAGGTGAGCTTACATGTTGGGCCTGAATAGTAGTAGATGTGTCTTCTCTATGTGTACCATCTTTCATGCTGGTTGCATCTCCAGGGAAGGAAGAATAAAGGACTTACTGTAAATGTAGCCAGAAATCAAGGAGTCTGAACTGGTGTCTGATTGTGAGCCAGAAGACAGGCAAAGGCAACCCTGCTGTGCACAGTTGCTTGCCCCTGCCAGTCCTTCCCTTGCCCCCCAGGCTCTTACCCCCCCCCATCCCTGGAGTTACCATACTACTATTGAAAGAGTGCTTTAGCATCAGGCTGTGTGAGGCTTGAGCAATAACATGAAGTTCAGCCTCAGTTCCGGTTTATTTTCTTTCAGTAGCACTTAGCCCAGGAAGCCCAGCACTCTAATATTACCAGGTAAGCTGTGCAACCCTCCCCGTGGTACCCAGAGCAGCCTTGACATCTCCACCAAGTCAGTACCCCAAACCAAGCTTAACTTCTTCTGGGCATACACTAGGCACTCCAGCCAAAGACTAGGAGTCCTCAGTTGCTATCCTCTTCAGTCCCCAAATCCTTTGTTTCTCTTTTTTCCACAACTGCCCCACCTCCAAATGTGGATATAATCATAGTATTTAGAGGTCTGTTACTATAAATTAAGAAAAATGCCCCAGCCCTAGGAAACAATAGCATTAACAGTTTGCTAGAGAATAGCTTTCATGGGTTTAATTTTTTTTTTTTTAAAGATGCAAAATCTACCTTACTCTTTTAAAAGACTGAGTAATATTTCATCAAGTGTAGCATGACTGACTTAAACAGTTGTCTCTTGGTAGACACTAGATCACTTCTCATTTTCAGTACAGTTGGGTGTGGGTGTGTGTGTGTGTGTGTGTGTGTGTGTGTGTTTACCTTATGTCTGTTCTTCCCACATTCTCATTATTACTGCCTTTAAATCTTGGCCAATTTTTTATTAGGTGAAGAAATACTTTGTAAAATAAAACAAGTTAATTTTTAAAGTTTGATTTATTTCTGTGGTTTCGTGAACAAAGCTGAGTTCTTTACATGTGTTGGTGTTTCTTGACTAGTGTCACTTATGACTAATATAGAGGTAGTCTTCATGTCCCTCCTCACTTCACACTGCCTCAGCCTACTCACCCGGGCTCTTCTCCCTTGATGGACCTTCTCGACCAGCCCATTTTTCTTCCTCCAAAGGCTTATCCATCTCTTTAATAAGTGAAGAAAATGGAAGACTCAGAAATCAGAAGTGGCGGAATGCTGGTAAGCTTAGTTTTATAAATTTCCTCCTGGTCAGTTTTAATCCTTTGGTTGATGCTCCTCTCACTGTTGGGACTGTGTTACACAGATAATGAATTTTGCTGTATGCTTTCGTTTAGCATCCTAATGCAATGGCACCATGTCACTGTGACCACCTCTAGTAACTACAGATCTGAACACTTGTAGTGTTGACAGCAGGTTCAAGTCCTTCAGAATTTGGCCACAGTCTCTCTTTTCCCTCATCCCTGTTACTCCTTCCTGCAAAATGTAACCTGTACACTAACCACATCAGACCACTTGGCAGTCCCAGACAAACTTAACACTGGCATGTCTATCTTGGCCCATGCTGTCCTTTCAGCAAGGAAGAACTTCCAGATTTTGCTGCCATGATACTCATTACGCCTTTGTCCAGAAAATGAGTCACTTTCTGCTCTTGGTTCATGCTTCACACACTCACAAACTGTGCCAGTTGTCTGTATCTATTCCTAAATGATTGCCTTTGTCTAAAAGCAGAAGGCAAATCCTGCTTATCCTGGTAGAGACACACAGAATCCACAGTTCAAGGCAGGTAGGCGTAAAGGGTGCTGTTGCATAGACAGAACTCAAAGCAAGGAGAAAAGGGAGTACAAACAGCCCCTACCTGGGAGAGTCTGCAGTACTCACAATTCATAAGTGACCATCTGTGATCATGTGTAATGACATGAGAATGAGCCTTGCATATCTACTAAGGTAAGGACACTAAATGTCATTAGTGAGTTGAGATTAAGATGGTAGTAACTGCATTTACCATCTGCCAGAACCAAGAATTGCGAGGTTCCATATCACACTGATGTATTCTTGGTTTTAGACATGAGAAAAAGGATTCAGGGAGGTTAAAGTTAGGGAGACAGGTGTAGTTCATTCATTTCTGCACTCCCAGCAGTTTGGAGATTTAGACAGGAAGATTGTGATGAGTTGGAAGCCATCCTGAAATATAAAGTGAAACCTGATCTCAAAAGAAAGAGAAGGGGAGATGAGAGGTAGGGGAGGGAAAGAAGGAGGGAGGAAAAGAAATGTTTGTCTAAGATTGTGTACAGTAAATTACAGAGCCAACATCCCAGTCTTGACTGACAGACTTCAGCTCTTAAAGGTGCATTCTCCTAACTTCCTGCCTTACCCCATCTCTGTCTTACCTGGTCAAGGGAGTATGAACTTATGAGCTGGCGCTGGCCGACAAAACTCCTTAGGAAGATGCTTGCAGTCCCTGCCTCGCCATGTGACTCCTATGCTCAGGCTCTACACTTTGCACCCAAGTGTCTGGCTGCTGATGCCCCAGAGGAACTTGCAGACAAGAGCACCCTGTGAAGCACATGAGCAGATGTAGTAGTTCCTGGCAGGCTCCCAGCTGTCTCAGTGCAGGCAAACTGGCTCCAGGCTACAGAAGCATGGAGCCCATCTCCTTGGATCTCAGATCTCTCTGGCTTCCTGAGACAGATGCCTCCATAGCTCTTTCATTGGTCTCTGCAAAGCCCCACAGAGCCTCTGAGCTGTGAGGCCAAGCAGAAGGAGAAGGACTCAGAGGTTATTGCCAACATGGGAATAGCTGAAATATTGTGAGTAGAGCTGAGCCTTGTGGTTACCACCCTTGTAGCTATGAACCCACTCTGAGTTGCAGGGATCCCTGGTGCATAGGTTCTGCAGTACCACCAGTAATAGTAACCTGGAGAGCCCAGACCACTTCCTGGTGAACTGACCCACTCCCTTGAGTCACAGAACCAGTATGTGCTAGTGTCAAGAGTGCAAGATCCAAAGATAAGCATTGAGTAACTGCCATGGGCCCTTCCAGAAGAATGAAAGTACTGTCTGGGGGATACAAGCTCAAGGATATGGATCTGACAGTGACCAATGATGTCGTGGACTTCTCCAGAACTAAGTTACATCCCAAAGGACAAACTCAGAGAAGTTAGCAGTGATGTGCTGGGCCCGTCTCCCAGCCCAAACTGCTTCCTGGGTGCTCAGAGTTTAAAGACAACCTCTAAGCAATGACCAGTAGACTGAGAGCCCTTCTCAAATTAGAGTACCTCCTGAAGGTGCTGTTGTCACCAGAGGACTTGTTGAAACCATCCCTTGAGTTTGGAGAGCTGTGAGGCCCACGGTGGTGGGGGCAGAAGTGGCCATTTCACAGGTACCAAAACCACAGGTGCCAGAGCTGGCCTCACTTGGTTCATGACTCACTTGCTTCTGGATCCAGGTTGCTGAAACCAGTGCTTGGGAGGCATCTTCGGGGCCAGTGCTGGTCCCTGTAGCAAGAGACAAGACTTGTGTGGGATGCACTGGCCACAGGACCTTTTTTGCAGCCCTAGCCACAGGTCAGGAACTTCTAGTATCCCCAGTGGGGCAGATCAGAGAGAATATCATAGCTTCAGGCACTGATTTTCTGCCACACCTGGTGGTATTCACACACTAAAGACAGTTGACCAGAAGGGGTCTTCTGAACCTATTTGGGCCAGCACAAGTAAGCCATGGACCTGAGACAACTGGGTGGACGCTTTAACAGGGAAGCAGAAGGAAGTTTCTCAACCTAGATCTTAAGCAAAAGGGTCCATGCTTCCACCAGCTCCCCAGTGATGACATCTCCACACAAGCACCCTGCAGTCCCTCCTTCCTACCATCCCCTACCAGCCGCCTGACAGCCTCATCCTTCTCAAGTCACTCCACCAAAAATCCTTCTGCTATTACAGTAGCTGCATGGCTCCTGTTCTCTGTCTCCACCATGCCTCAGACTGTACTAAATACCAGCCTTTGCCTGACTGGTTGTGAGCTCCATCAGAATGAACCCTGCCTTTGCTTGGGGGTTGTCTTGATGTTTCTGTCCCCTTTGTTGGGTTTTGGTCAGTTGACCTAACTTATAACCACATTCCAAAACCCCAACAGCTCATGCCTCCCAGCAGAGGAGATGCTCTCAGAAGGGACTGATAAATCGCCATTGTTTTGCTTCCTTTCTCTATGTGCTGAACCTCCAAGACCTCTCTGGTGATTGAGTCTCAAGAGCACTGTACAGCTATCTGTCCCTTTCTGTCCCAAGCTATTAATTCTTCAATTGAGAGACTGCACAGCCTCTCTTGGGCCTCCTGGCCCTAGAGCTTCAAGTTCAGAAGCCCACAAAAAAGGATGTTTGTGGTAAATCAATTCCTCATTTCCTACCCTTGGCTAGCCAAGCATATGAGAAGAAGGACCAGAGAGCCTCATTGTAAGTAGTAATTTTGGTTGCCACACATTGGTATACCTCATCTTTCTTCACTCATTAGCACTTTGGGGGAAGGCCACTCACATGGGCTCCACACTGGGTTACTGTATATAGATCAACCATTTTCTCCAGTTTCTGAGGTCCAGAAGACCCCAGATACAGCCAAGAACAGACTCAGAATACCTGTGTTTAGCCTAGAGGTTGTCCTTGAGGGGCGAGTCACTTTGGGGGAGGAAGTATCAGTGAGTGGAGGCATCTCTTCCGATTCCCGATGGCCAATGGAGGGGTCTATGAGAAAACAGTGAGTGTAAGGGTGGGCTCTGTCACACCAACCCTGTGAGAAGTCACAATAGATCCTGCCACTCAACCTCTATCATAGAGAACAAGGCCCAGTTACTGCACACTGCAGGCAAATGACTGAAATAGGTTCTCTCACCTTTAATGTTCACAACAGCTCATCAAGGAATACTTATTTGTTTTGCAAATAGGGGCCAAGATTGTCTTCAAATCCAAAACAAAAGAAACAGCCACAAATAGGCAAATCCACGAGACATAAAGTCTATTTTGGTTGCCAGGGGTAAAGTAGGACATGATTAATTAAGGGCTTTTGAGGGTGATGAAAATGTCATTAAATTAGATAATGGTGGTGGCTGAGCAAGCATGCAAATGTTATAAACTACTGAATTGTGTACTTTAAAAGGTTATCTTAAGGTATGTAGATTCTCTCTCGATAAAAGTACAACTGGAAGGGGGAGACTGAAAGCAGAAGACAAGATGGGAGGCCTGGCACTAAGGAGGGACATTATATGTACAAGATCCCTTAAATTCATAGTGACCATAGCTGCTATTAGTGGGGTACTTGCTCTATGTCAAGATCTCCACTGTCATTCAGACTTCAGCATCCCTATGGGATGTACTCAATCCCAATTTGTAAAGTATGTTTTCCAGGTGAGGAAAGGAGAACAGTTCTGCCCATCTTCTAGGAAGTGGGAACATCTGTCTGATTCTAAAGCACAAGCTCCTAGTTATTTGATTACTAATTGTGGTTGTTGGTTGCTAATGTAGTAAGGCTGGATGGGGTTCATTTTATCCTCTGAATCCTCATAAGGGTTTTTGTTTGCTTGCTTGCTTGCTTGCTTTTTAAGTTTCAAATAAAAAGCTTGTTACAGAATTGTTACACTCAAAGTCCCCCAGTGTCTGCTTAGGACTAGCCTGAGTATCCCCACTATCTAAAAAACTCAGTTTAACCTTGATGAGCCAAGTGGGCTCTCACCTACCCCAGAAACAGATGAAAGGTTTCAGCTCATGGCAAAATAGTGCATAAATCTGAGGTGGGGAATTCGAAAAGATACGGAGTCCTGCACACAGTCCTTGACCAAACACAGGTATTCTCTGAAGCCATTCGGGGATGCTGGAACCCAAGTTACTGGACCAGGTCAGATTGTTGACCTTCACATCGAAGTAGAGGCCAATCCAGGCATCGACATCATTTGTGATGGACTGGAGGGTTTCTTTGCCCTGCTCATCAGTCACTTTCTGCAGATCAGCCAGGTCTGTATAGTGGTTGCGACAGTAGGTCAGAGCTGAGAGCCATGACATGGTTTGTTTAATCCGAATGAAGGTCTGTTCACCAATCTTGACCTCAGCTGGAAGCAAAGAATACAGAGACCAAAGACCTGAGATCCAGGGTGTCTGCCATCCCAGCCTTCATTGCCTAAATAACTGGATCCTCAGGTTTTAGCTTTGGTCTAAACCACCAAGTTGTAGAATGAGTGAGATATCATAGCAACAACTGGTATGGAGAGATCATAGGAAAAGGCTTGCCTTACAGGTAAATGATTTTATAAGTTAAATTTAAGTTTTAATTGCTTCATCTATCCAATAGGAATAATAATAGCTAAAGTCAGGATTACGTAAAACCACTCATTAGCACTTAATAAAATGGTAGGCACTATGTGGGAAATAGTAGTAGGTCATTCCTGTGGTGGAAAAAAGACAATCTTAGTTTAGAGTTAGTCCCATCTGTGATTCAACACACACACACACACACACACACACACACACACACACACACACACGAGAGTGGGGGGAGACAAAGAGGGAGAGAAAGAGAGAAATCCTAGGAGCCAACCACATCAGCTCGGATCTGGTAGGCAGGAAGCAGAGCAGGCTGTGCCCAGCAGATCTGCCCCTCATAAACTCAGACAGATAAAATGACTACCTCTCTGCTCCAGACTGGATTGCTTCAGGTCTCAAAGGCAGCCCCACCACTTCCACCAAAGGCCCCTTCAAGCCCATGCCTCTCTGACTCCTAGCGAGGGAAGTTTGGGGAAGGATGTGAGGCTCTGCAGCTCATTCTGCAGTGGTTCTGAAGGTTTAAATAAAGAAGACTGTTTGTAGAATCTGGAGTCATATCCTCCCATTCAAACAAAAGCCCCTCCTTACTTTCTCTCTCCGGCATGCACCTGCTCATCTCAACCCATTAAGATGTGCCTGTTTCCCTAGCTAAACAGATTTTTTCATATTTAATTATTGTGTGTATGTGCATGACAGCACACATGTAGATCAGAAGATGACTTGCAGAAACCAGTCCTCTCTTCACTATGTGTCCCAGGGATTTAACTTGGGTCACCAGGCTTGACAGCAAGCATCTTTACCCACCCTAAAGCTAATCTTTTAATTCTTCTATATTATTCCTCTAGTATGTTGTCAGCCTTGGCCTAGATCACTTTTTGCTATTCACTATCATCCTGAAAAGGAACTATTATTAATCTCATTTCATAGCTTAGGTAAAAGAGGTTGATTGTCCAGCCCATGGTTGATAGTCTCAGTGTCTTTGCATTTCACTCTACATTCTGTAACACAGAGAGAATGAACCCTAAACATAGGTGAATTGACTATTCTTTTTCTCATAGAATTTTTCTATACCAAATGAAAAGAAATTTTCCTTTTAAACACCAGCACAGTGTTGTCCAAGTGGCAGGAATCTTGAGAGAAATACCCCTCTCTAGACAGGGCAAGGGCCTGAGTTGTGAAGAGGTTAAACCCACTCATCCCATAAACCCTGACTCCCAGAAGAAGATTCCAGTGGCAGGCTGTAACTGGTTACACACTACTGTGAGACTGTGAGCTAGTCACCTTCCCCTCTGTACGTTTCAGGCATTGTCCCCATCAGTCCCTGGGTTTCAGTCTGGGTACTCCAAAGCCAAACATCAAGTCAGGCAGGAGGGGGTAGCAGGGGGACCCATACTGATCCATATCCTGTATGCTGGCCCATCCAGGGAGAGATGACTCCAAGGCAAAGTAAGTCAAGATCCCAGAAAAGGGAAGACAGAGCCACCATATCTTACCTTCCTTTGGAAGAGTGGTCAGTTCTTCAAGAGGGGACACCAAGAAGATGCGGTGTCCTACAGCAGGGTCTGTAAAACAGACGCAGACTTCAAATTATGGCTAGAGAGTGAGAACTGCCCAGGAGCCACCAGATTGGAGCCAAAAGAAGCTGAGTTCGAGGTGAGCTGGCCCATTCTATATTTATTCAGTAAATATAGATTAAGCACCTAGTGTGTGGCTGGTGCTACTCCCTAGGAGAGTGGTAGAAATAACACATGCAGAGTCTTTGCTTTTGAGGAGAAGATGAGAAGGAACCACCTAGTCCCAACAGGGTGAGGACAATGGTCCATCATCCAGCGGAAGAAAAGAGCTGTGTGGACTGGAAACAGAAATAAGTCAATACACCACAACTAGAGAAAGCTGAGCAATGAGGTCAAAGACCAGGCAGGGCATGATTGTCTATGAATAGCATGATATTCCAAGTGCTTCAAAGGTCTGCTGAGTATATTGTAAGGAAGTTATCCAATGTCTGTTAAAACTCACAGTTCAGACAATAGACGGTAGTGGCCACAGAGCAGACCCATGGAAGTGAGTGGGAATTTAGCCCATGCACTCACAGTGGAACTTCAGAACTGGAGAGAACTGAGTGGTATCAGAGTATGTTATAGTTGAGTTCTAAGAAAGCAGGAGGAAATCCATCACACACTGCTCTGATTTTTGCAGGCATTCCTACTGGACCCACCCTGTCCAACCCTGGAAATCTTTACGTTTCTCCAGAACCTACAGTTAAAACCAAAGCCATTGTAGGCTTCTGTTTCAGGGCTTCGTGGCAAGCATGGTGTGTCTGTGGCTTAGAAAAAAATGATAGAATGACCTCCATGCCAGTATCTGGGCAATCAGGGTGGCATAGAATTGTGCTAAGCCTTGGCTGGCCAAGAAAGGCAGAAGTTGACACTTTACCAGGAAACCACAGTCCTGTTCACAGCCACACCTCCATGTGGCCTCTCAGCACCAATAAGACAAAGATGAGGACAATGGTAGTGATGGTGTGGGCTCCAAGGGGAAGACAGCACAAAAATGGGGTGTTCCCCAGCAGCCAGCACCATGATGTACTGATGGCAGATCCCCAGCAACAATGCCTGGAGTTAGTCCTGTCCACCCCTTAGCAAAGAAGCAAAAGGTCTCATAGGGGTGAATGTTCTACTTTCTGCCACCACCAGTAAGACAATAGATTCTACCCTCCGCCTCACAAGTCAAGAGTTCTCTCATTTCTGCATAGGTAATGGGCCCTCCAATCTGTCTTTCCCATTTCCTTCCTTGCTTAAAGCTTTAATTGGAAGATGGAAGAGATGGCATGGAGCATTCCAGATGTTATTTTCTCTATCCTTATTTACACCCAGTTTCTTGGTGTGGTTTTAAGAATAGAGTACAGAAAGACCCCAAACTAAGGTCACAGAGGAAAGAATGCTATGAGGAGGGTGTGGGAGCACCGTTACTCTTATAGATATACACACATTCCTCTCTCCCTCTCCCCCTCCCCAAAGCAATCTTGGAAAAAAGAGGACAGGCCCAGAATATTAATCTGAACACACCATAATAGCAAATGAAGGGCTTCTTGGCTGTGCAGGAAGCAGCCCCCAGGACAGGGACTGTGGTCAATGAATATAGAGTAGCACAGATGCCGTCCTGAAAGGCAGGCAGCACACTCCACGTTGGAGTGGTAAAGATGGAACCACTGGACCAACTCAGGCCAGAGATGCGCACATCGTAGAAGAGGCCGATCCATGCCTGGGTACTGCTGATGTAGGAGTAGACCACCATGATGCTCACTGGGCTGTTCATGCTCTGCAGGTCGGCGAGGTCTGTGTAATGCTCCTGGCAGTACCACATGGCCTCTCTCCAGGTCCGCGGTTCATCCACTCGATAGAAGGTCTTGCTGCTGCTTACCAGCTGGAGGGCTGGGGCAGGAGAAGCTATCACTACATGACTACCCCTACTCCCCCTTTGTCCCCAAGAGATTTCAATCATACCCCTCACCTCTGACCTCCACTCATAGCCAGCTCTGCCTCTGGCCCTTTCCATGAGCTACTATTGTCTTGGTTCAGAAGGACTAGCCATGCTAGTTCCCTATTCTTTCTTTCTTTTTTTTTTTTTTTTTTAACCTTCCTTCCTTTGCCTGGTGGTTAACAGCAATCATCAGTGTTTTCTGCCATTTAGTTCACTGAATTTTTCTGAGGGCTACTTAAGATTTCATTAGTCTTTTACAGATAAGGATTCCAAGTCACAGAGAGTTGAGTAAATGACTAAGGCCACTAAAGTGGGAAGTAGAGAGAGCTAAGATTCCAGAACAAGGTGTGTGGTTCCCAGGTCCAAGTTTTAATCACAACATAGCACTGGGTCTACATCAGGAACTCTTAACTAGGTTATACAATAGGTTCACCCAGAGAGTATTTCAGGTATGTTCCAGCATTGAGCAGAGACATGCTTACTGGGGACCATCATCAGAATCCTTTAGATGCTTCTAGGGGAAAGGCTTACTCTACTTGTGTGTCTCCAGCAGGTCTAGGCAACTTGGGAGGCAAGGCTTGCCTTATTCGCCATTATTATAAACCCTAATCTGTGTCTAGATGCACCAAAAGCATTTGGTGTGTTGAAGAAAAGTGGGGAGATAGAGACATGGGAGAGGCAGGAAGCGTCCACCAGGAACCCACCAGAATGCTAATATCCCAGTGTACCCCTCTGTTCCCTTCCTGACTCCAGCTGCTTTCCAGATTCTAGCAAAGGAGGGCTATCTAAGGCTCTCCACCCTGGTGCCAGGGCAGAATAGAGGGGAATGAAAAGCTTACTGTTGAGATTTTGGGGGTCTTAGAACATAGAAACCTAGCCTGGATACTGAGGGCCAAGCATGCAAAACAGGGCAGGGAAGGGGGAGAGGACAGGCATTTGCCAGAAAGAACAAAGTTCTAGCACCCACCAGAGTTAATGAAGCTGGCTGTCGCTGACAACGGCTGGAGAATCCCTGTGCCCAAGAAAGGAGAAAACCACATTTTTTTCCTATTTACTTTGGCAAGATATATGACTCACTTTGATTCTTTTAAATGTTACACTATTTAATTTTTAAAGCTCTCTTGCTGTGGCCCACTGTTTGTTTTTAGGAGCTAATGGATCACACCTGACTATTAAAAAAAAAAAAAAAAAACAACTTGTCAGCCCTGTAGACTCAGAAATCTGTGCTACTCTCCTTCCATCCCTGAGCTGAGACTCTGGAGTTACATTTGGGCCACCCTGGTCTACTCCTAGGAATCCAGTCTCAGCAAATCTTGCCAACTACAGCAAGCCTTCTGGAACTCTCCACCTGTAACTGTGCCCTCTGCTACATGGGCCCAGATTGTCATCCTCTTCAGGTGCAGTGGGTCACCCAGCTTCCACCTGGGATGCTCCTTATCTTGTGCTCAGTGATGGGGGCTTTAAGTGGGAGCCACCCTGCCACTATCATGTTCCAGCCCCATGCTCAGTGAGGGGGGCCTTCTAAAAAGGGCATGCACCATCCCATGCTTGGCGCTGGCCTCAGCCCAAGAAGCAAACCCAGCCTGTGTAATACATCATCAGTTGGCCTAGAGACAACCTGGCTGCCAGGGACCTGGTCAACTTCCTCTTGTGCTGTTCTCTCCCCTCCCCAAAGCCCCTCAAGATACCTCTCCCCAGGACTTGCCCTCTGAACGTGCTGTTTGGGCCAGTTTTGTGCACTATGGGAGCTTCTGGAGGCGGGGAAGGGTACCTCCCTCCCTAACCCTAAAATGGTGGTTGAAATCATTTATCTCCATTTTGTCTCCCAACCAACATAGAAATCTGAGAGCCCATGTGGGGTCTTACCTGTCATGCAGAAAGACAGCAGAAGCCTTGCAAGCAGCATGATGGTGGCCTAATAAAAGCTCCTGGAGCTGATGGCCTCTCTAAAGGCTTAGCCTAGTGTGCCCACTTTTCTTGCTCTCTTCTCTTTTCTACCCAAATGGATGGATTTTCCTAAGCAAATACAGAGTTCCTGCTGTTTGCCAGGATGTAGCCTGAATAAAGATGGAAACATCGTTGTCTTAAACTTTAGCAAAAGCACCATGGATTCTGCAACTAATAAGCAGAGGGGCAAGAAGGAGCCCATCCTGGGGCCTGGCTGCCAGGAGAGGTACACAGTAGGGCAGTGGGAAGCCAGGTTAGTGAACCCTTAGATTCTTTGGGTCCAGGGGAGCTAGTGACACAGTGAAGGAGGGAAAGAGGGGCCCAAAGGGAGAAGAGCTAGACACCCATCCCACTGCCCAGTCAGCAATCACAGAGATTGTCATCATCTCTTTGTAAAAAAGACCACTGTGCCTCTGAAATACCTTGATCAAAACAACATTATAGGCAGGAACAGGACAGCAGTTCAGACTTAGATCACTGAAAATCGTGTAATGGGAAGGTAACAGAGCCCCATTCCATCCCAAATCTAGCATCCCAATACAGCACAGCCTGGAGACAGAAGCACTTGCTCTGGAAAGCGAAGGCAACTTGCTTATGTTCTGTCTGTCCCACACCACCCAGGTTATCCCCAGACTTCTTTCTGTCCCTCCAAGGGCCAGGATTTAACAAAAATAAATAAAGCCCAGAAGAGACCCCTTCCTGCCCCCCTTTTGTAAAAGAAGCATACACAGATGACTGAATGGACAAAAAGAAAGTGCAATGCAGACTATCAAAGCTTAAGCAATGATGTCTTACCTCAGTGTGCTCCGTCAGCAATGGTCTCCAGAGATTTCATCCCAGCAGTAGAACCAGCTAGTGTCAGAGTGTCCTTGGACCATCCTCTAATGAGAGGACACCTTGACCATATTGGTCTGGAAAACACTTGCCCTATCGCTCTACTCACCTTTTAATTGTGCCATTCACAAAGGCTTTTGCTCTATGTGTCATCAATGAAGAGCACCAAGCACCCAGCTTCTCACACCCAGAAAGAGTTCTGTCACTCTCCTTAGAGATGGGTGAAAGTCAGTCAGTCAGTCCTTAACAACCCAGCGTGTCCGTCTATGTCTCAGTCACCCTTCTCTTCCAAAAGGAAACCATGCTCCACTGCCTAGCCTCAAATCTGTCTGACTCATGCTTGCATTTGAAGATGTGAGCTCTCAGCTTCTGGCTCCAGCTATCATGCCTTCCCACTGTGGCAGACTCACTCCCAGAACTGTGAGGCCAAATAAACTCTTCCATAAGTTGCTTTTGGTAGTAGTGTTTTATCACAGCAACAGAAAAAGCAACAATAGTGAATTCCAGGGCAGCTTGGGCTACAAAATGAGACTCTAAAATAATAAAATAATAATAATAATAATAATGATGATGATGATGAAGAAGAGGAGAAGAAAGTAGAGAAGGGGGAGGAAACTGATTTATTTAGGTTTACAAACTGGTTCCCCAGCTCTTCAAGGACATACTAGTAACAAGGTGTTTGTGTGCATCATGAAAAAGTAAAATCACAGCATTGTGTTTGAGAGAGAGAAAAAAAAGAGAGGGAGAGGTGGCTTGTTTCTTGTTAGTTTGTTTTACTATAAATCAGGTTCTCACTGAGCGTGATTATTTTCTATCTTCTTGCTTGATATATAGTCCTGTATGCCCTCACGTGTGCTTGGCTAGGAGGTGGCTCATGTATCATCTGCCCTGCTGGGCAAAGGGATCGCTACTTGACGCTCTCTGAGGCTTTCAAGCCAATGAAAGAGGAGAGATGTTCACTGTCACAGGCTTTGAAACTGACCAGCTGGAGCCAGGGTACCTTCATTTACATGTGGGGAAATGAGGCCTGGCAACTTAACCCCACACTCCCTCCCCTTGCCTGGATCAGCATGAAGTATAATGTTCTTGGGTTGGAGGGGAGTGAAATCCAAGACTTTTGGTGGGAAAGAGACTTGGTTGGAAATCTAAATGGCTTTGGTGGCTCTTGAAGAAGCGCCCGAGAAGGACCCAGTAGTTGCACAAAAACAGGTGTATGAGATGCGAAGTACCTGGTGTGGAGCTTAGTTCACACATATCCTGGTTACTTCCTGTACTGCTGGGCTACCTGCCCTCAGAATGCTAAAGCTGGCCTTTTCTGTGCCAACTAGAAACTTCTGAGAGAAGACAGAAGGGGGAAATGGAATCCCCAGTGAGGAGAGAAATCAGGTTTTCAACACTGATTTTGAGTCACATTAGGCCCCAGGAGATTCCATGTCCTCTAATTATCCATGTTAAACACAAATCACAGTTACCCTCAGAATTACCTTCTGCATATCTCTCTCTCTCTCTCTCACACACTCTCTCTCTCTCTCTCTCTCTCTCTCTCTCACACACACACACACACACACACACACACACACACACACACGAATCGTATTGTCTTAAGCACTATTCAGTATTCCTTCTGGCTCCAACCCTCCTCTGATGAGAAAAAAAGAGTCAAGGGAAGAGATGGGGTATAGGCAGATGTGTGGATTATATTAGTAAAGAAATGGGTGCCAAGGAGAAGCCAGCCATCTTGGACAGCCTTCTCTGGCCAGCATCAGGAGCCAAGACCTGGCTTCTCCCAAGGTGTGTCTGTTTCTGAATGACTGGCGGAGGTCCCCAGCAGTCCTGGGCTTAAGATCTTATGGCTTTGGGACCTTTGGTTTCGGGACCACAGCAGGCAGACCCAAAGCTGGTGACACTCTAGGCCAGCATATGAGTGCAGGCATTGTGACCTCAGCTGTTCCGCACACAAAGAGGTGGTCACCTTACCATTGCCTAAGCCTGTAAGTTGCATAGGACAGTGGCTTGGTCCCAGGGGGCTGTTGCGGGGAGGTTGGGAAGGTGAAGAACGCCCTGGCTCTTCCATCATGTCGACCAACAGGGCAGAACTGAAGAAAACCAACTCGGTAAAGGAAGAATATTGCCCAGCACTGTGGGGCCTCTGTGAGCGCCTGCCAAATGGATGCAGGACAGAGGGAATATTGGAAATGACCCTGGGGACCTTCTGATTTTCTTTCTGTGTTCAGGGCACAAAGCAGCCCTCAGCCTGGAATGGGTGGAAATTGGTGTCTGGCCTTGGGGTGGGAAGGAAAGGGGTCTGCAACAACTCCATGTAAGACCCAGTGCTCTTCATGACGGCTCATAGTCCAGGACCCAGCCAAGGCCTGTATCTAACTGGCCCATCTAAGGTTCAAAATAGCTATAGTAGACTACTGAGCCCACTTTGTAGATGAGGAGACGGAGGACTTGGCACTAAATAACATGTCCACACTGGTGTGGCTAAAAGAGAGGAAGCTGAGGTTAGAGTTTGGGTCATTCTTGAAACAACCTCTGGGATTTCCTAAAAGTTGTCCAAACGGGCTTTCTCTGTCTGCTGGACGGACACATGTATACTCATTAGAAACGGGTAACATGACCAGGTAGGTTCAATGGCCAGAAACAGACATTCGTGCTAGGACTATATGAGCCTGTACTGAACTACTGTTCACAGAGTAGTTTCTGGGGGGGTCCTGCAAGAATTGACTAGTATCCCCCAATCCTGATATGCAGCCAAGTACACCGTGACCTTCTGTCTCTGCAGAAAAAGAACTACAAAGCAGTTTGCTTGGAACCAAAGCCAGAGATAACACAAGTAAGAAGTTTTGAAGCTATGCCAGCAGCCAGGCCTGAGATCCATAGGGAGGTAATTGGAGACAAGGGTCATTTCCTGTCCTTGGTGACTAGAACCTATCCTACGTGCTGGGGGACATAAAAAAGATGAGTTCTTTGTCTTCATAGACCTTCACACCAGTGACAACATAGAATGTCACCTGTATCACCTGTTACATGGAGAAGGAAGATTCAGGGTTGGAAAAGGCCTCTCCCAGAGCATGAGCACAAGGCCTAGATGCTGGCAGAACTGAGTCTGAGGAAGAACCTTCTAGATGGAGGGAAGAAGCAGCCCGTGGTGGGAATAAGCCTGGCTGTGCAGGGGGCCCACTAAGCCAGGAGAAGTGTGGGACACCCTGAACCCAGAGAGGAATGAAAAGGACAGAGGGGACTTCTGCATAGGCAGAGCCACTAACTTGTCTTTGTGCTGTCTCCAGAGAGGGACACAACCCAGGGTCGGCTCTCTAGCCCCTGCAATCCCACTCACACTATTTCCAGTGCTTCTGTGTTCTGTTTCAATCCACAGATATATGATTACAAAGGATTTAAACCAGAAGGGCTACTCATCAAAAAAGGGATGACACAAGAGCTGAAGGTCAGTGCTTGGGCCCAGGAGGTCTGGGGACAGATCACTTGTGAAGGGGTGGACTGTCAGCTACTTCTGAGTGTTGGCACCTGCTGGCACCTAAGGCTGGAGGCTTCACTAAGTCCTGGCCTTATATTTTTAACTTGTTATTTTGAAGCAATTTGATTTATCGAGAAGTTGCAAAGAATTAGGTATAATGAATTCTAGTACATATTTCACCCTAAATGCTGGCAATTTATCACCTTCACTTTGGTCTCTGTTTCTGTCTGTCTCCTTTACATACACCCATACCATGGTGTACACAGAGAGAGAGAGAGAAAGAGAGAGCCCTTCATATCTATAGACCCCATACCTTTAAATCAACCAATCTGGGATTAAAAATATTTGATAAAGCATTACAGATATTTTTCCATCACTTCTGAAACAAGACAGCACAACCATCATTTGCATAACATTTGCATGTGAATTGTAAGTGATCCAGGGATGGATGGCTTCATGCATATGGGAGGGTGTGCACAGGATGCAGGGGATGTCAGCACTGGCAAATTTGCATATCTGCAGGGTTCCTGAAACCAATTCTTCTCAGATACTGAAGAGCTGCTGTGGGTATTTCCTAGTCCACCCTTTCTGGGTAATGGGTGGGCATCCTGCTTGTATCTCCCTTTCCTGGGTTCTTCCCTTGACCTTCATCACATCACAGAGGGTCCTGAAACCAATCCCCCATGGATACCCAGAATGACTGACTCTATACACTCTCTGAACCATTTGAGAGTTAAGTTTACCCAAATCTTTAACACGTACCTCCTAAAAACAAGCACCTTCTCTTGTTTACGGTTTGTGTGTGTGTGTGTGTGTGTGTGTGTGTGTGTGTGTGTGTGTAATTATCAAATCAAGTCATTAACAAAACCCTTACTTTGATGTCACCAGCTGTCTCATTTTATTACTAACCACAAAATCATCTGGTCTGGGATCTAGTTCCTGACATGTGTTACCTCTAGTCGTGTCCCCCAACCACTCCCTGTGTGCCCTGTGTGTGTGTGTGTGTGTGTGCCCTGTGTGTGTGTGTGTGTGTGTGTGTGTGTGTACATGAGCCTGCAGAAGCCAGGAGAGGGCATCAAATCCCCACACAGTTTGAGTTAGAAGCAGTTATGAGTCTCCGGATGTTGATGCTGGAAATGGAACTCTGGAAGAGCAGCAAGCACTCCTAACAGTTAAGATATCTCCAACCCTGTCTTAGTGTGGGTTACTTTTTCAACATCTATCTTACTGGACACTGAAAGTTTTGAGGATTTATTTTACTGATGGATCCTTACTTATCCTACTTATCCTTCCTAGATTTAATTTAGGCGGGTTCTTGGACAAGCCTTCCAAAGCAGTGCTTCTTTCAGGGTGTCCCCTCCTCAGTTCTCCCAGTCCGGATGTCTTAATGATACCCTTTCCTTCCCTCTGTTTGGGAGAGCCCCAAGGACCTGCCCTTGATGGCTACTAAGAGATGCCTCCAATGTGTTTCTCTCACATCTGTTTCCTCAGAATGAACTCAGGGAGGTGAGAAAAGAACTCAAGGAAAAAATGGAAGAGATAAAACAGGTAATACGATAAGGTGTCAGCAAGAGGGGAAAATCAAAGCTCTGGGAAAATGCAATCGCTAACTCTGACAAGTAAAAGAAATAGGAATTGCAAGGGGAAAGCAACATCCTAACTCACACCTGGTCTCCTACAGTGTTTGAGTCCTGGGCAGCATAGATCGTTAATTTCTTACTTCTTCCATGCCTACGCCCATTTTTCAAGCAAATTAAGAATTCCCTAATGTATTTAGGTTAAGGGTGATGCTAACCTCGGCAATCAAAGTGAAAAGAGACTGCTGAGGACTTTGAAGGTGGACACAGATCAACTATGTCTCCCTTGTGCATCTCCCCAGAGAAAGAACTCTCGTTTCTAGGAGACAATCACCTGTAGCTCACTTAGGGAGTGGGGGGCTGAGCAAGAAGGAGTCATTGAAGTGTGGTGTGAGTGCCACATGTCAAAGCTGTAGACAGAGACAGCATGGTGGTGGTACCTATACTCTAGACCCTTCATAATCTTCTCGGGAAGAAAGTGGCTTATGCAGAGTATTATTCATCTGTTCCCAAAATCCAGCTGTGCCCTTCTCTCGAAATGTCCAGATCTTCTGACTGACTCCAGTAACACACTCCATGCCTTGTTAAACTACACTTTTCTTCCTCATTAGATAAAGGATATAATGGACAAAGATTTTGATAAGCTTCATGAATTTGTGGAAATTATGAAGGTAAGCTTCCCCTGTATGCCTTCCGTGGGTAACATGGGAAATGATGGAAGAGATGCCAGGCCCCTGCCCTGAGGTACCTGTAACCCACTAGATGGCCTTGCAGGTTAGGGTGCAGGCAGGCTGTTAATTAGGGGTTTAGAAGTGGAAGTGGGAGCTAGGAGAAAAGTCCTTAGAGAAATCAAGCCTAAGGTTTGACTATGTTGGAGCTTGATATGAATGTAGCTGCAGGCCCAGCATGGTTCCCTTTTGACTCATAAAACAAGGATAATTCGAACCACAGAGCAACGGTTTGCAAACATTAGTCTGTTTCAGAATGACTTGTGACAAGAGCCCCAGGTTCACATTCAATAGGGCCTGAGTTCGCCCCCCACCTCCAGTGGAAGCTTGAAAATCACTGACATATATGCATAAGCAGGCAAAAGGCAATGGCTAGGGTATTTTCAAGAGTTCTAAGGGACATTGGATTGCCAGGTAATTAAAATTCATGATAAACTCATAGTCATCAAATCAGGGTGGTTAATAATAAGCAGAGAAATGAAGGAATGTGAGTACATAACCCTAGAATGGCTTCTTTGCCAGGGATGGATGTCCTGAGAATTCCCTAAAAGCATACTAAACATTCACACACCCAGACTCCATACAGACCAAAGACTGAATAAAAACTTCTTTTTTTGTGTGTTGAGATAGTCTTTGTAGTAAATGATGGCCTCCAACTTTTGCTAACTCCTGCCTCACACACACTCCCCCCACCTGAACCCCCCCCCCACCCTACCCTCATCCCCAAGTGCTAGGATTGCAAGCACATGTCCCACACTTGGGTTCTTCTCACGTGATGTGGATGTGTGAACTTCGAAGCAAACCAGGCCCTAAACACTGGAACACATCCATCAACCCTGGCTGCATGTTGGAACAAGATCAGAGAAGTCTGTCATACTGTCTCTTTAAAACTAGGCTCTCCTCAGAACAGCTAAACCAGAATCTTTGAGGGTGAAGGCCAAGCACCAGCAACTTTTAAATTTCCCTATGGGATTCTAATAGATGATTAAGGCTGAGAACCATATTTCCATAAAGTTTTAAATATGATAAAGGTGATTTGTGTGTGTGTAGCACTAGGGATTGAATCCTGGGTCTCACATTGCTAGGCATTGAGTGGGATCCATTCCTGTGATAAAAGGTGATTTTTTTTTTTAATGTCAGTAAGAAGAAAAGGGTTACATAACGATACAAGATTATTGCTCGACTCTTTGAGGAAAAACCAGTTCATTGGCTCTGTAAGCTGAAGCGGTCTATAACGTGAATTTGAAAATAAAAATCAGTAAGGAAAAGTTATAAATACGAATATAATGGACAAAATGGCAGAATATTGATGTGTTTGCCTATATAAACATTTAAGAATTATGGTGGAAAAATACCATATGCAGAATTTAAAAGCAATTTGAGGAAATAGTTGTCTTAAATGTGGTAAGGGACAAAGGGTTTATAATCCATAAAATATAGCTCTCACACAAAACAACAGGAAATAAGTGAGAAAATGGGCAAGGCTGTGATGACAAGCCAGAGAAACAAAGATACAGAGAACACAAATACCTTTACTTCCACAGTGTAACTATGCAACCAAGTAACACAGAGTTAGGGCCGGAGAGATGGCCAGCAGGTCAGAGTGTGTGCTGCTCCTGCAGTGTACCTCAGTTTGGTTCCCGGTACCCACACTGGGTGGCTCACAACTGCCCATAACCCCAGCTCCAGGGGATCTGACGCCTCGTCCTTGGAAGGCACCTGGACTCATGTGCACAAATCCAGGAACTCACATATATAGGGCATCTACAAAAGATCATTACATAATGTAACTGTCACACTCAAATAAACATTTGGATTTATGACAATAAATTACTGATAAGAGTACTAATTCATACAAAACTGGAATGTTAGAAAATAGCCATCCTCGATATTTACCCCATGAGAATATTAAAAACAGCATGAGTATGTATAAACTATTTTAATTTCAGAATTATTTATGAATGCAAACATTTGGGGAAAACCACAATTTGCAATAATAGAGAAGTAACTAAATTATAGTTTATCCATACATTAACATTAGGATTTATTATAGGCAATGCTTATAAAGAATGCTTAATGTAAATATATAGGAAAAAGATTGAGAAAGAAATATACCAAACAGGCAAATAGCAATTTTGTGAGGGAGGTAAGATGATTCACTTTTTAAATATTCTCCTGTTTTATCCATATTTTTTGCTAAGGGCATGTGCTATTTCTATATTAACATGCAAACACCATAAGCATTTTATTAGTGGCCATTCCTGGGTATGGAAGGGCACAAAGAAAGCTATTTCAGGCAGGGAACAGCTTGGGCACAGCAGGAGGATGGCTGTGTTTCCCAGTCGGGGGAGACCAGCCATGGAGTGGGCTCATCTGGGGGAAACTGAGAAATAAGACTGCATGGGCACACAGTGGACACTGGTGGGATTTTAGAAATAGCTGACAAGCTGGGACTTGACTCTGTAAGCAGCAAGAAGTCTCTGGAGGTTCTAAAAGAACAGGCAAGGAGCAGCTGCTGGCCAGGAGGCCTAGGAGGTGGGGAAGGCCTGGAATTGCCACCAGCTGTGATAGAGAGAGGAGGGTGCAGGGAAGAGGGGAGAAGTTGAAGGAGATACAATGCTTCCTGGTGACAGATTCGGGATAATGGAGTCTTAAGTGAGTGTCCATGGTGACACTAGCGTGTCCATCTGGATGCACAAGGCGGTGGGAAAACTGACAAGAATAGCGGGCAAGTGGAAGGAGAGGTTGGGCGATACGTAAGAGTAAGGACACTGAGATTTTAATGCTATTCCCATGTGTACTAACACTGACAAGCACTCACACAGCTATCTTTGGAAACCACCGCCTCCCCGCCATTGGTGCGATTGCTTTGTCAGCTGTCTGCGTCAGATTAAACTGGTTCAGAATCTTTTTGTGTTAGAAACACTGACTGGAGATTATTTTTCTATTTTATGACAAGCGGTCCACACTGAGATCTGTTCACAATGAAAACTGTCAGTTACAGCTTCTTCATTTCACCGTTTCTATCCAGCTTTCTCTATGTCAAATTCTATAGATTATTTTTTCTCTTTTAGTTCTCAGTGAATAATAAATGAGCTGTGTTGTTTTAGCTACTGTCCTCTATTTCACCTTTAATATTTGTGTTCATTGTTTTAAATTAGTGTGTGCATGTGCATGTGCATGTGAATCCATATGTGTATTGGGTGGGGTATGTGTGAGTGAATGGACAAGGTGGCCAGAAGCATTGGATGCTCCGGAGCTGGAGTTATAGGCCCTGTGTGAGCTGCCTGCTCTGGGTGCTGGGGACCAAACTCAGGTCCGATGCAGGAGCAGTGTGTTCTCTTTACCATTGAGCCATGTATCCAGCCCTCATTTTACTTTATTTCACTTCTTTTGTCTTTCTACTAGAACTGTATTTTATACACACACACACACATACACGCACACACACACACTTAGCTGCATTGTCTCAGAGGCATCAACTCAAAGCCTCATATCTGAGGTCAGGCAGAAGAGCTCACCTAGAGGTCATGGTAAGTCTTAAGCCTCTGACTGTGCTCTAGTCTCATTGAGGTAGGGGTGGGAGGTGACTGTCAGGGTCATGTCCTCTCTACTTCAGGCTAGTGAGGATTCTGCAGAGAGGAGGAGGAAGGAGCCCCAAGCTCTTCAGAAGGGGTTCTAGTCTTGGGTTCTCTCTTGAAGGAAATGCAGAAGGATATGGATGAAAAGATGGATGTTTTAATAAATATACAGAAGAGCAACAAGCTGTAAGTGTCACCCTCCTCCCTAAGGACTCCTCCCCCCACTTCGCTCAGCACACTGGGGTTCTGAGAATGTCCTCCTCAAGGAATTGTCTTGGCCCTACCCATACAATGGCTGGAAGTCAGGGCCTTCCATGCACCTGTACACTGATAGAAACAGTCTCCCCAAATCTCTGCCCCCTCCATACCCACCAGTCCCCTTCCAGAACAACCAAAGGAGCAGCAGGAACTCGGGCAGACAGGAAAGACAGACAAAGATCCTCAGCTCAGAATCAAGAAAATGGAAGAGCCTGATGGAGCACCATTGACTGATGACAAGATGATGTCACAAAAAACAAAGAATAACCCACTGGATTCCCTTCAGTCATGTCAGAGTTGCTGCGTAAGTGATTTCCTGCCCACCCTCAGCACTGGTGCTAGAGCCCTGGGCTGGTCCTGCCGAGTTCCGCAGAACTCACTTTAAAGAGCTAGCCTCACCCTATTGCTGGCCCCTGGACGAATCCCTTAGTCTAGAAACCTTCCTTAGCTGCCCTGCCTTCTAGGCCACAGTTGTGTAGCCAACCCGTGAATGTCCTACTCCCAAGTTCTGCTCGGTCATTCTATCCTTTCCTATAGCAAAGCCTGATGAAGTACCCAGCAGGCTGGCCAACCTGGACCAGGGGGAAAATGATCTTTCTTGTGCCGTTTCTGTCCTCTACAGGAGAAATGTTTGTTGTGTGCCCTAAAGACCAACTGCCATCAGGGGTAGGTAGATCCATACAAGAAGGGTCTTCTCAGTTGGATGTCTTGTTATCCCAAAGGGAGTGTGCATCAACTTCCTTTTGCAGCAAGCCCCATCTGTGGTTGCACAGGGAATAGGGACTGTGAGTGGATTCTGCCCCCGCCCCCAGCATAACCACCCAGGCATAGAGGATGTGGCACCAGGAAAGAGGATGTGGGTGGCCAAGCCTTAGGTTGCTGTCCACAGGCTCCCTTAGTGGGGAGGGTACACCTTCAGCTGCAACCTCAGCCTGGCCCCAGGTCCCCCCTCTGTCCCACCGAGCAGGAGACCTTCACACCACGCCTGGGCGCCCTTCTCACCTTTGTCATCTGGAGCTGCTTTCTGATTTACCTGTACTTCAACCCCGACGAGATGGAATATGTGCTCCCCACCTAGCACATGGAGCCCTCCAGCAGCTCTGGCCCATCCTCTCTGTGGGCTGCACAGCAGGGTCTTCTGCCCATCCCCGCCCCTGCCCAGGCTCCCAGTTGAGATTAAAGACTTCCATTTACAGTTCAGAAGTTGTCAGCATTTTGAGTACCGGCCCAACATTTGGGTGCCCGGAGCAGTACTTTTTATGTTCTAAATCGGTGTGTTTCAGATCCCAGTTCCTCTTGTTTTCCTTGTTGGCGAGTGGGACATTCTATCTGATCTCCGTCTGTCTCTCACCACTCCACTGTCTCCCCCAAAATAAAAATAGAAACAAAAAACAAACAAACAAAAAAACAGGTCAGAGTCCCAAGGCCCCAGGCCTGAAGTTACGGAGCACCGGCCTGTGTAGACTCAAGACACACACCTACTGCCCTGTCTACTGATGCCCCACATTCTTTGTCCCTGCAATGTGCCCTGGATGTCATGGGTATCCCTGGCAACCTCTGAGCCACAGGACTGCACTGTCCCCCTCTAAGGTCTTATCACCAAGTAGAGTGGTGCCTGCCTCTGCCCCTCGGGAGCCGGAATCAAAGGCAAGCACCTCATCTCCAATTTGTAAAAAGTCTTTGAAGGGACATTGCTCCTTTGGAGTAGAGGGAGGGAGGGAAGGAGGGAGGGAGGGAGGCAGGCAGGCAGGAGGGAGAGGAAGGGAGGGGGAGGGAGGGAGAGGGAAGGAGGGAGAAGGAGGGAGGGAGAGGGAGGAAACCCTCAAAGGCAAAAAGTAGGTGAACCTCACCAGAACCCAAGAAGCACACTACAGAGTGAGACCCTGTTTAAAATAAATAAATTAAAAACCACAAATAACAAAACCAAATTAGAGATTAGCTAGTTACCACCAGCCTCTCCTGTGCCCACCTCAAGTCCCTAAGTGAGGCAGGTGAAACTGGTTGCTTGAAATGAGAAGGAAGGAATGCAGAGAAAACAGTGTTGTAGAGAGCCACCCCAGCACGCGGCTCTGGCTTTGGTCTGACAGATCTCTGCAGTCACTGCACACCAATGCTTCATGGTTTTTGTTGACTCCTTTTAACAGTTTAATAATCAGTCAAGTCCATAATGGTGGTAATGCAAATGCATTTAGTGCTTCGGATACACAACTTGAAACAAAAGCCAAAACACAGCTTGGGCCTTGTTATTCCAAGGACTTTGTAGTTTTAAAGGAGAGATGGCAGACACCCACTACAAGCAAGCACTGGAGCTCGGATGGAAAGGGATCCTGGCAGTCAGGAGCCAAGGAATACCACAAAGTCACCGCAAGCATAGCAGCTTACAGCTCTGCTCCGGTGCCCTCCCACCCCCCCTCAGATGTGTGTCATCCTCTTGTCCCTCCCGTCTCCCCATCCACCACCACCATCACCCCCGCCCCCCCCCCCAAGTGTAACAATTGTAATGCTCTGCTAGCAGACATTTCTCTCTTGGCTCTGGCAAAGAGTTGTTACTTCTCTGCTCTCCTCCACTTGGAGGAAAGAAGGTCCCACCCAAACCTCATTCAAGAGATTGGAAGAATCTAGGAGGATGGCCTCCTCTGCCCTGGTGAAAAAAGGCAACTCCCAACTGAACAGGTACAGGGCTCATATAGGGCTTCTTAGGGGCAGAGTTTTTCCAGGGTGGGGATTTCATGGTGGGAGTTGCTTGGATTGCAATCCCTAAGCTTGGACAAACTCAAGGGATTGGCTGGATTTTGCACTCAAGGACTTGTTGGTTTCACATTCAGGTACTGGTTGGTTTTCCTGCTCAAGGGTTGGTTGGTTTTTGTATTGAGTTAGTCAGGGGCAACTTTGCCTCTGGTTTCAGGGTCAGGGTGTGTTTCTTTGGCTGGCCCTTTTACTCTACGTATGCCACACACTATATATTATAGAACATCTATAATAAGAGTAACCAAACATGAGGCAGACAGAAGACAGACGGACTAGCCCTGTCCTTGTTTCTATCTGCACCGTTAACAGACTACTACAAATAGAACGACTTGGAGCAACAAGAATTGGATCTTGCTTTGCTAATGACAAGGTGTCAGAGGACATACATTATTACTGCTGGAGGCTTTGTGGGACAATCTGCCCTTGCCTTTCCCAGCCTCAATGGCTGCCTCCATTTTGAGCCTGTGCCTGCCTCTTTTCCTCAAAGGCAGCTACAGCCAGTGTGGTCTATCTCAAGTTGTATCATGCTAACATGTCTCACCTTCCCTTCCTTCAGCCCACCTAGATAACCTCGAATGTTCTCATTATAATTGATGATTAGCCACATAATGTAACAGAAGACTAAAACTTGGGTGTTTTCAGAAGGGCATACTCTACCCACCATTGTGTCATCTCAGACTCTAACTCCTGCCAAATGACCAACCCACAAACACTTTGGAATGGTGTGCTGATCTTGAGGGTGATGGTTTTCAATCAGGCCCACAAACTCCATCACTACTAAAGGAATCAATCATTCTCCCCTTGTAGAACAGATGTAGTAACTAATGAGCAGAACAAGGTAGAAATAATGCAGGTTACTTTGGAGACATAGTGTCTTTCTTCTACCTTGCTGCCCTTGGAAGCCAGCTGCCATGCTTTGAGGCCACTGCAATTGTCCTATGGCAAGGGACTGAGCCACCTGATATACCGTATGAGAAGTAGGTCTCAGACTGGCAATGTACCTCAGTTGATTATGTAACATGCCAGAAAGGGCACAGCTCCTCAGTGCTGCATAAAACTGGTTCAGTCTACCATGGTGAATCTCTCTGATCTCTTTTAGAAGTGCACTAACTCCATTCACAAAGGCACTGCCTTTTAGACAGGTTGTTATTGCCTACTAGACATTGGAGAGTAGTTGCCTCCAAAGCATCACCTGCACATTTTAGAGGCAGATGACCACTTAAACTATTGCATCTCCCTCCTTCTACACCATGGACAACCTTTGGGTTCTTCTCCATGTCCCTTTACTGTTTACTAAGGACCTATTTCTCTTCCTTCTTGGGATATTGAGGGCTGAAATAAGTCTGTTTTTCTCAAGCCTGAGGCCCCAGAATTAACACACTGCTCATGAATGAATATGTAGTCCTTGTTCAGCAATCAGCCTTCAAGGTTCAGAAGACGAAACGGTTCTGGTCTAAAGTCTACATTAATTAATGACATAAAAAGAAACTTGCCTGGAACACAAGAGAAAGGCCCTTTGACCCTAAAACACCTCCCCCAGTCCTGTTTTTATTTAAAAAAAATAAAAATAAAACCTTTCCCCTATGAATCAACTGTCTATAGTCATAATTTGATTAATTAAAAATGTTTCCCCAACCCCCTACTTCTTAGCATTCATCTACTAGCTCACTATTCCTAGCATGGCTGAGACGAGAATATAAATTTGTTTCAATGTTAAATTTACTAGAAAGAAATATGAACTTGAACCGTGATCTCAAATCACAGTCTCTGGCAGGTGACCTTAAGCCTCAGGATTCAAGCCCTGACCTGTACCCAAGGCTCTATCCACCTGTCTCTCCGGGACCTCCCTGCCCTGTCACACTCCACACAGCCACCAATAAATTCCCCCACCTGTGCCCCCAAATATCTTCTTGGCCCAAAGTCACAACAGAGGTCCTTGTCCTCACTCAGTTTTCTGACAGCCAGAGCACAAGGGAATCCCTAGCCCAATGCTGGGCCTTGGTCCCCAGCAGGATTCCCTTCAGCCCATCTGTCTACCTGTCAACTTGGTGCCCTGGGTGAGCCATCCAGGAGACCTGGAGTGTTAGAGAGTGCCTAGTGCCCCTGAGCAGCTGGACCTGGCATTCCTGTCAGAGCTCTTTGGGTTCGTTTGAGGATCCCTGAGAAGATGAACAAAGTGCAAAGCCCAAAGCCAGCTAGAGAGGGAGCTGTCTTTCCTCTGTACCATCCCATTTGTCTGTCGTCTCCATAACTGACTGACTGTGCACACACACCTTTGCTGAGGACCAAAACCAGGCAATCACATGTGATAAAGTGTTATTCTGGGGCTGGAGAAATGACTCAGTGGTTAAGAGCATTGTTCTTCCAGAGGATCTGAGTTCAATTCCCAGCATCTACATGGCAGCTCACAACTGTAACACCAGTTCCAGGGAATCTGACATCTTCACACCAATGAACATTTAAAAAAAAGTATAATTTAAAAAAGTGCCAAGCCCCATGCTCTAGCCCTGGCAGCTCTAAACCCTTTCCTATAAGAGCTGAAAGTGGATGAAGACAGGAACTACACAGAATTCATCAATTCCCCCCCATTTCTGGTGCTTGATGGTCGTTTTGAATGTACGCATTTACAAAGCATATCGGTACCATTTAGTCATTTAGGCTTGGCATTTTCTCTTCCCATAGCAAACAAGCAACTAAGTTCCACAGGACTCCTCCTACCCCTGTTTTGGTTTTTTAGATAGGGCCTCATATAGCCCAAGCTAGCCAGGAAGTTGTTATGCAACTGAGGCTGGCTTTGAACCCCTGATCCTCCTGTATCCACCTCCTGAATGCTGGCACCACAGGCATGTGCTACCATACCCAACTCCACAGAAGCTTTTAATATTTCATATGTCTATTGCCAAAGGCCCCCTCCCATATTCCATATGTACCTTTGTCCAAGGTCTAGGCACCTAGACTCTGATTTACAACAGTTTTTGGTCCATTCCTCTCAACTTAATAGCTTGTACCCCAAAGCCTGCAATCCCTGTGTGTAATATAACACTCTCCAAAATATCACCCCAACTGCTGCTTTCCGTCATACACCACCAGAGCCCACTGCACATGGGGCAGAGACATTCCTCATATCCTCCCCCCCAATTCCTCCCATTTCTGCACTGTCCCCAACATTCCCTTCTGTAAGCCCTGTGCTCTAGGGTCCTCCTCACACTCTTGCTTTGCTCACACCATCCTCTCAGCTGTGTGAAATCCTTCTTGGCTGCCCTCTGTCTCCACCCAGCTAAGCCAGTGTCTCAGCCAGACACGTTTCGCACCTCCCAACTCTGCTAGCCCCTAAGCTTCCCCCTTCTCCATGCGATTGGCATCTCTTGAAGGGTTGTCATCCTCTGTCCTCAGCATGGAGGTCACACATGGTGCTGA